ATCCCCGCACTTGGTCAAAAGGTCATGATGTCCGCAATTGGTAAACGGGTTGCATGATTTCTGCGCTTGGTAAATGGATTGGGTGATCTCCACACTTGTTGTAAGAACTCATTGCATCAGCTGCATCATCCCTTTAATTTCTGCAAGAGCTACATATATTTATTTCTTTGCGCAATTGTTGCATGATCATGGTAATTTGTTTATTATCCGACCTTGATACCTTGATTGCATGATCTCCGCAATTGGTGCATATGTTGCATGAACTCCCCACTTTGTATACTGGTTGCATAATATCCGCTCTTAGTACATGGTGTACACGATGTCCGCAATTGGTAAACGGGTTGCATGATTCTCTGCTTGCTACATGGATTGTGTGATCTCAGCACCTTGGTTGTAAGAACGCAGTACGCATTACATAGCTGTATCATCCCTTTATTTGTTACAAGAGCTACATAGATTTATTTCTAGGCACAATCGTTGCATGATCATCATATTTGGTTATTAATGGTAATGGTTATGGTGCAATGTACACGGATTGCATGATCTCCGGATTTAGTACATTTGTTGCAATATTGCTTACATGATCTTCGCTTCGCATGGTAAATTCGTTCTATGATCTCCGCACTTTGTATACTGGTTGCATAATGTCTGCTCTTGGTACATGGTTGACATGATCCCCGCACTTGGTACAAAGGTTTCATGATCTCCTCAATTGGTGCATATGTTGCATAATAATCGCTCTTGGTACATGGTTTACATGATCCCAGTACTTGGTACAAAGATTTCTTGCTGTCCGCAATTTAAACGGGTTGCAAGATTTCTGCGTTTGGTAAATGGATTGTGTGATCTCCACACTTGTTGCATGGATTGCTCGATCTCAACACTTTGGTTGTAAAAGCTCAGTACGCGTTACATGAGCTGCATCATCCCCCTTTATTTATCGCAAAAAGCTACATAGTTTTATTTCTTTTCACAGTTGTTGCATGATCATCGTATTTTGTTATTAATGGCCTTGGTTCCATGTACATGGGTTGCATGATTTCCGAATTTAGTACATGGATTGCAATATTGCTTACACGGTCTTCGAATTTAGTACATGGATTGCAATATTGCTTACACGGTCTTCGCTTAGTAGTTTGTATATTGGTTGCATGATCTCCGCACTTCGTACATCGGTTGCATGTTCACCGCACTTGGTACGGTGGTCGCTTGACAGTATTTGCTTGGTAAATGGTTTATATGATCTTCTCACTTAGTACATGTATTGCATGATTCCGGTTCTCCATACATCGTTTACATAAAAGAGTTTCATATCGGTTGCATGATGTTCGTTGTTCGTTCTTTGTAATTGGATTGTATAATATGCCACAGTGGGTATATTGCTTTCGCCATCTCCGCACATGGTTCGTGGGTTGCTTGATTTCTGTACATGGATTGCGTGACCTCCGCACATTCGTTGTATGATTGTTGTACATTGCTTTCGCGATCTACGCACTGGTTCCTGGATTGTATTTCTGCACTTGGTACATGGATTACGTGACCTCCGTACATTCGTTGTATGATCTCCATACATGTGCTGCATCCCCCCTTTATCTGTTGTATGAGCTACATACACTGATTTCTTGGCACAGTGGTTGCATGGCCATAGTGTTGTTGGTTTTGATTTCTTCGCTTTTGGCCGACATATTTTTTCTGTTTACATCTACCGGAATAAACAGCTTATGATTTCTTAAATTGGCTTTTGTAATATAGTCCATACGTTGGAGACAATATATATTGGAAATACGTTTTCGGACTTAAATTGTGTATGTATGTGGTTAGTGTTTTATTTTTTCCATTATGTTGTATTGTTTGTATATCACGTGACGTTTGAGTTTTTCTTCAATAATGCCCAGATGTCATATTAATCAAAACCGCCCTGACACTGTAAAAAACGTCATTTAGCTATAAGTTGTGCTGTTTTTAAGGCAGAGTGGGCTTATTAGTTCCAGATCACCCGATACCGATTATGGAGGAAATGTAATTTTGGATATTTATATACACATAATACAATACGACACTATAACAATAACCGAAAATGCAATAACCACCAGATAATAACAAAACAAAACATCGAATGATAATCTTGCTAACAAAGACACACAGCAAGAAAAACAATGGACACAAAACCGAAAACTCATAATACCATTTCATCAGACTACAAGTACACTATATATGTAACTTAGAAATACCCCTGCCTTACAAATCAAAACACATAAACAAATATACTTATTTCTGAAATACTATTGATTTAATGAATTTGAAATATTATTCATTTAAATTATGTAATAGATTATTTATTCATTTATATTGAAATACATATATTTTTAATATGTAATGTGTTTATTTCAGTGGATCATATTAATAATCAATGTATTTTATTCAGAATGGTAGAGTCATTATATATACGATGTGGTCGGTAACCGTAATTAGCAAAATGGCTATATGCACACATTGCTACAGTTTTCAGTGTCCATCAAGAGCGGCAACCATTCATGATATCTTTTTGCAAACTGTCACAACTGGGTCGAAAAATTGGCCAGAAACGATACGCAAAGATAAAGCTCCTTAATTCGCACCATCTATCAATATCTGCAAATATTTCTTACTGTCAACATCTGCCCATCACGTCAATCTAAAACTATTGTTTTCTGTTTATTGCGCGATGTAGTTGCGGTTGCGGGTTGTTGCTTGATGGATACGCCCTTTATTCTGGTTGAATAATTTATTTTTCTATTGTTTTTCCATGACATGGAATATTCAATTACTAGTTCAGACAGCATGGCAATCTACCGCTCAATATAATGTCTACAGTAAGTACTGGAAAACGTGGGTTCGGGTAAATCAAACCATTTAATTACAGCCAAAAATGAGGTTTCTTTTCATTAAGTAGATGTGTTTAAATAAAAAAAAAGATATTTTTCGGAATCAAGTTCAGATATTTAATACATCTATGTTGGGTTAGTTACTGATGGTGGTCTTCTACCTAGTAGCCCCCTCATTTGAAATCCAAGTAGAAATTGGCTCTTCGGTTGCTGTGCCTGTGCCCCAGATGCTTCAAAAATTCAGGACACATTCATTCCTAATGATTTCCGCTTATACTATATTGTCTTCAAACTGGAGCCTATAAATCTATATTCAGATTCAGAAAAATATCTTTTATATGCCATAATTAAAGCTGCCGTGTATAATAAACTTTGGAATAGGTGGTAGGATTACATTGTCTCAATTATCCATGGTCACAGTACATTCAACACATTGCATGATCGCAAACCCTGTACAATTCCAATGCGAGGAATATTTAAGATGATGTTTAAAAATACTTGCTGTTATTGTTTGCCTCTCCGTAACTTTGTGAAAACATTTAAAATCATATTGGATTGACGTGAAACATTGTGTTCGTTTTAAAACTTAACACAAGTTGAATACTTCTGTTATGCTGCAGCTTTAATTGTTTTAAATGGCGATATCTATAGAAAGAAAGGGTAATTTTTGTCTGTAATTTATTCCATTACAAAACGTAATTTTAAGTGCTTCGGATCTAACGCCTGTGGTACTGGCAAAGAATCGGATCCGTTTTACAAAATAGAAGACGCCTTGCTAATTGGAATTCGAATGAGTAGACGGTTTGTCCTCCTTCAACTCCCGTTTCGAACGTACCAGTACCCAATACGGGTACCATATGTTCGTCTGAAATTGTGTTTCATACTGATATTCCAAACTTTGGATTACTAAGATGACTTAAAATTCCGCTAAAATAATCCCCCATTTAAAAACATAGTTAACATTTATGTTACTATGTACATGTAGATAATGGTAGATTTTATGCTATGGATATGCAATAGATTTTGTAATAGTCAACTGTACAATTGATTGCGTTTACTAGTACACTTCCTCGAACTCGAGGAATTAACGAGGGATATTTTACGGAATACATTTGACACATCTAACAAATGTATTTTATTCACTGGGCTGGTGAGTCGGTGTTAACTTCCACCCAGTAGATGGAATGTATATCAGATTTCTATTCTACATAAATCTTAGCTTGTCGTTAGTGAAGCACCTACACATTTGACTGACCAATGTTACCAAGGTTATTTAGCCTTATGTTTCAGATATCTTAACCGGTCGTGATGGCGATTTTCACATTAAATAATTCCGAAAAACGTACTTCTCTTCAGTATACACTCCTTGAGTATGTGCATATTTCATTGAAGCGGAAAAGTATATACATTACCGCACTTGTAAGGACACCACGAAACATTCAATGATACATGAAATATCTAGAAATGATGAAACAGATGAAACATTGCCAAAAACCTCAATATATTCTCAAAATGTTCAGAACTACTAGGTCGTTAAATCTTTAACATTTCTCTTTAAAACACCCTCTTGAGTTCCAAAACAAAATAAATACACGTTTGCGTGTTGAACGGTACATTTGATTAGTGTAATGGAACGCTTAGTTAAAGATGTATTACAGTGAGTACAATATTTTATATAAATAAATTCTATGTTTTAGACAGACTAGCTGATATCGCTACTTCCAGTTACCAAAAGGTAAGATTTACTAATATTTTAGTGCATAAACCAGTCTATGACACTGGACCGTACAGCATATCATCTCAAACATCCTGAGCAGATCAAAGTTATTATCATTAACAATACAGTAAATTTCGATTTAGTATATAGTAGTGACGTGTGTCCTGCTCCAGAAGAGTATTCTTTCAGGAACACGTACATTAATATTAGCAGTCCATATATTACTACACTGGATCGTCATAATATATTTTGAATTCATCGGACCTATTAGACCACTGGTACCATCGTGATTATCATTTTCATTCATTAAGGTTACACTTCTCACCGTTTGAGATTCATGATGTACGGTTTGGTGAAATATGACTTTAAAATAGTTTCTTACTAGTGATATTAATGCTATTTTGTCCCTTTAATTGCAGGTATGGTGATTGTATCTTAGACTTCAAACATATATTTACCTTAATAAATATATAATGCTTATTTTGCATAAATTAGTAAGTGAGATTTACTGTTAGTAGAGGGTTTGTTGTTTTTATTGTTATAGTAAAGCTTGGTTATTTAGTTAGTCGTTGAGTTTAAGTTATTTGTTATTGATTGAGAAGACTGGGTGACTGAGTTTAAATATGTTATTTGTTATTGATTAAGAAGAGTGGTTGAGTTTAAATAACGTTATGTTTTATTGATTAAGACGACTGGGTGGCTGAGTGATGTATGGTGGTCTTTGTTTGAGATGAGTATTGTTTCTACCTCTGGTTTGAGGAGTATGGCCACTAGCCTATACCCATGTGTTTTTATCAGTTGCTGTATAGTAGTATCCTTAAAGACGGTTTCTTCTGCTCAAAAACATAAGCTTATATGTTCTGAAAGTATGGTATTTATAATGGCCAGGACAAATAAGTTGATAAACTCAAATTCTCTAATAAACCAACCAATAAATAAAACAAGTAAATTATTATATACACAGAGAAAAAAGTATCGCTCTGTTATGTTTTGAAAGATATTCAAACTTCCTAAAATCTTAACCAGCAAAGAAAGACAAAAACTGAAATTTAAGTAGAGGATTTAATGTGGTTCTACCGAGTTAAAAAAAATAGAGGCGGAAAATTGGTGAAACCAAGAACTATGGCTTGTACAGGTCAATGAGAAATCATACAGTTCAGTTCATTTTATTTTGGGTAGAGTTGCCGTTGGTATTTTAGCGTCTAGATTACTCACACGTTGCCCTGTAACCTCCTCGCTCTGATCCTTTTAAGGGTATATTATGACGGGTATATGTGTTTTTGGCTATAAATATATTTTCTATTGTAGTTTGGACACTTTCCATTCGAAGGTTGTGTATTCAGAACCTCAAATGTTTAGAAAGTATATCTTAATAAATGTCTTTAAGCACAGGGGGAATAATGAAAAAGAGATTTGCCCTTTGTCCCTATCTCTTTCTATATTATTTTTTTTAAATGGTTTTTATACAAAAACATGGGCTGAACTGATAGTTCAAATAGGATTTCACAGAATCAATCATTTTCTGTCTCAAATAACGTTTACTTGTGTATTTTATATTGTGGTTAATGTACCAAAGTGTGAGATGTATGCAGCATGTCAGCAGGAATGTTAATAATATGAACGGGACTATATGGGGCATGAATTTAGTGTTCCGATGTAATTTCCGCAACTATATAGTGTTTGCATAACGATTATACATATAGAAATTTACACGTGGTAAGGGTATTGAAATGAGAGATGTATGCAGCAGGATTGTCAATAGTATGAAAGGAATAATAATAAGACTTAAAATAAGATTAAGCGTGATTGACAGACTTTGACATTCACTTATGCGTAATATCCCAGCACACCCAGTTCAAAAATGTAATTTTACGAGGGTCATTAAACTTGTATATTTCAACCCTGGTTCTAGCTTGTCAGTGGTGGTGCCTAAGAGACAAACCTAAACAAGTTTTTTTTTCGTGTGGGGTGAGGGAATTGACGTTCACCCATATGCACATTTGTGTACACCTAAAAGAAGACTTGACAGTTGAAATTCGAAGAAGGGTAGACCGAATCATTCCCCTACTCTTCTCATCGCCCAGAAATAAACCCAATCTATATTAGTCTTAGATGGCTGAAGTTTTGTGTTGACGAGACAGTAAAATCCATTTCATTATGGTGTCGGTACCTACCTATATATATAGAATTTTTCGCCTTGAAAACATACAATCTGTATTGTAAAATCGCAGCATAACGAAAATTATTTCTTTAGCAACAGGTGAAGATTTCCAAAGCTAGCATAGCTATATATTTTAGCTTTTTTATCAAGTCTTGTTTTGTTTGTGTTATGTCTCTTTAGGGTTAACTATGAAAAGGATATTTATATGGATGAAAGTGAGTGAACTGGGGTGGGGGATCCAATAACCTGGAGTCACGGGCTAATCCACGTCCCACATAAGTCGAAGTCACATCAACTACCAGAATAAAAAATGACCATGTAGGCAGGGCCTTTCGCCCCGGACGAGGGATAAAAATCTTCCACAAGGTTTACCAGGTATCCGATAACAACAGGCCTTCTATAACTCTCTCAAGGGTCATTACCTACAACTACATGTTGGCTATGGTTCCTGGGAATTTGATGGCCCAACCAACATGAGTTTTATATAAACAATAGCTGTACTTGATAAACAACGTGATTTAGTACCCAGTTTAACATTATCTTTACTGATTGGTCGATTTTCATCTGATTTCCTCTCTCAAATATACACAACTTATTTACCACTCTGTGTTCCCCTGCCAATATCCCAATTCCCCTCTCCAAATTTTTTCGCCAGTAAGCACACTTAAAACAGGGCTTTGGATTGGACAAGTAAATAAGACAGGTTGTTTGATAGGCTGTCTGGTATGATTTAGCATCTTTTGTTGTGTGTATCATGTCATTTTAACCTTCGGTAGCCAGTGCTAGTTGACGATTTGTCTGTTTACTGGATTGGGTAATTGTTTGATTCATGTTTTAGGAACTTAATCAATAATTCAATAACTTGTATAGATTTGGCAATGTTTGCTCACGGATAACAGGCAGAATACATGAAAACAAGAGAAGTTTCTTTAAAGAAGATTCTGTTTCCGTGTAGTTTAAAGAATAAGATTTTTTTGGACGGTTACCTAAACGATTAGACAAAACTTAAACGGCTTTGTTCTTGTATCCAAGTTTCATAGAAGTGCCTGTATAAATTGATTTTTACTTGAATTCTATGTTATTGTGTTTTACGTTTTCTTGTAACTAGGAGAAACAATTTGAACTGTGTCTATTAACTGACTTACAAACTTAACTGAAAGAAATTGTGTTCTGTCTGGACATTTGTGAAAGTGAAAACTATAAATTGTAGGATCCGGTCTACTTGTATTTAATCTGTGAATTATGGTTTGATTTTGAAGTTTTCATTAATTTTTATTTAATTAGGAAATTAAAAATACCTCAAACGTAAGTAACTTTCAAAACTATTGTAAATATTTTATTAGATTACAATTATTCTTCTGTTTTTAATTACTCAGATGTAAACCATGTCTTCAGATGTTGCAAAGTTTATAAAACACGATTTGAATTTAAATGCTCACAAAATTATGCTAAAGAGGCAGTGTAGCTTTATTTGGGATTCTTCTGTGGTTGGAAAAAATATTTAAAAAAATCGAGTTGTGATGTTTTAATTATAGTTATACAGTTCGGAATTTTTTTCATAAAACTACTTTGGGATATTTTGCATAATCAAGACAAATTGCTTCCGTTCGAAAATTACGACACTTAAAAAATTTACAGTTCAAGATTATTATGTTCGCACTATAAATTGAATTTCCGCTTTTTATTGTTAACTTGTGCATTCAAGATAGGGAGCCACGGTGACTGATTGAATAAGACGTTGGCTCGTTAGCCTGCTTTGGCCGAGAAAGTTCATCTGGATTTTCCGGCGTGGTTCCTTTTTGTCAGTGGTGCAGGACCGAGGACCTGGCAAGTGACAACGTATAGTCGTTCGGATGGGACGAAAAACCGAGATCCCATGTACACAGCCGGTAAAATTTCCCTCAGCACACTTTATGACATATGCCCGTGTTCATCAGCCCAGTCGGAGCAGAACAGTAGGACGTTAAACCCCATCTCATTTCATTTCATTTTTCATTAAGATATGTTCGGTATCTAGAGATTGTTGTTATATGTAGTAAAATACTGGAGACTATTATCATCGCAGATATTTTTTATGACAGTTATATATAATTTAAAGGTCGTTCCCGGGTGTTCTTGGACGTCTTATCTTTTTGTAATACTAAGTACTTTATAATTTTGATAAATGACGTAAAGTAAAGATTACAGGAAAGGTGGCGTATTGTCGATTTTAATTCCTATCCATTTCTAACAAATAAAATACCTTCGCCTGGTATCTAGAGAAGAATAAAACTTATCCTGACATTGTTACATTCTAATCGATAGGCTACAAAAAGGTCGAAAAAAAGCCACCCTTTCCTTCCTCTGCATTGTGTTTGTTGTAGAATTTGGCGAGAAGATTGTGTAACGGAAAAGACATATTTGATTATTTTGACTATATAGAGCGATAGTTGGGAAGGTTCCCCCGGTATGTGGAAGGGCAACTATTTAACTAGGGGTGTTTTAGTAGAATAGACATGTTTAATTTGGACGGAATTTTGTTGGTATTGTCTGGGATATTTGTATAACGAGTTGATAGGAATGTTTAATCGCCATGGTTGATATGTTGAATTGTTTAAATAAAAACTAGATCGATCTCTTTCCTAATGTTGTTGCTATTTCATGGATTTGTGTGTAGACATGAACCTGACAATATTTTAGATATTTATTTTGGAAAGACGATAGCCAATAGATTTTCTTATATGTGGTCCGGTTTTAAAACCCAGGGGCGAACAAGTTATAAACTAGTTGTGGCGCTGAGCGTGATAGTTGTTCAATCTTGGTGTTGGTTCGGATAAATTAAACCATTCATCCATTGCTGTTTTACTTGTGATACCAGGGCTTGCTGACGCCCTTTAAGAAAAGGGTAAAGTTAACATGTTCATGTATCGTTTATGCTGTAGCACATGAAATAATTTATTACAACATTAAAAGTTATGTGTCTTTTAGATTTGGATGTCAGTTATCTCAATTCTAAATTAGAATAGGTAACCTCCGTGTACCGTTCCTACTTTAGTTAAAAGTCATGATTTATTGAATATTTAAAGTCAAAATGTCTTGAAGAGATTTATATTAATTTTATATTCCTCACAGTATGTGTCGCTTTTACTTCACCTTATGTATATATTACTTAACTGTAGTATTACAAGTCAGTTATCAGGGTTAATTTTAGAGGCAGCTTAAAAAGAAATTACTGAATGACAGTTATTTAATTCTAACACATGAAAATTCAGTACAGAAATTAATCGTTTATGCCATATACATTACTTTAGAATATTAATATTTAACGTCATTCACTGAACTTTTAAATTGAGACATTCAAACTTGCTCAAGGATGACTTCATCTGTGGTATTAGCGACGTTTTCGAGTTATATTGTTTCTATTTATAGAAAACAGGGACCACTTTAATTACTTGTCATTATATTGATACTTCTTTATTATTAACATTATGTATAACTATTATGTAATTAATTAACAAAACATTAATTTGCAGAAAAAAGTTTAGGCGTTATTAGTTTGAATCATTTATACCCATTATAAATCATTTGTATTATTTTGAAAATTAATAGACAAAGAGAGCTTAAATAATTCACTTCGATCTTATATTCTGTTGCCGATATGCTATTTTCAGACCGTATGATCAGATAAGTATTAAATGGTTCTGATTTACTGATATATTTTGAGCAATTTATGTATAAAACTAATTAGAAAACCTGGAAAATGGTATTCGGATATTACTTTTATAATGTTTATGTGCCTTTACTAGTGGAAAGGGGTCTACATAATGCCCCGTGTTAAAGTCGCTGATCCTCATTTGCATTTTTGGACAATATCAAATTTGTCACAGCTTAATCAACACCGATTAATGTTGGGCAATATCCTGCCTTGGATTCATTCGGATTGAAGACAGGCCCGTCAAACGATTCCAGTGAAAGTAAAAGGGCACTGGCTTGTGTTGACTGCAGTGAATGCCGAATATTGACAAAGTCTCAATTCGTCATACTGTCTTTGTACATGCTGAACAGAATTCAGCCAATTTTGGACTGATATTCCATTTAGAGATTCGGCTTCCACAATATTTTAACAATCCATCAGATGACGATCAGTGACTTTAAATTCGTAACGAAAGATGCTAATTACATCGTATGCTTTGAAAATTAATGCATGAATGAATGTATTTGTGATAGCGTGTATGTCTTCAATATCAATAATTCAATACTTTATGCTAATATATTATGCTAATATCATATTATTCCAATAATATCACTTTTTCTTGATTTGGTTTATCTAGTAATGTACTTGTATTTGAGAGAATATTGTGAGAAACGTGTAAGGCCGAATGTGGGAGAGATGTGTGAGAAAAAATATACAAAATATTTTTATTTTGGTGTGTCCGTCTTTCTGTTCTAACAAGATTCATTTTTTTATATATAATAAGTAAGTCTTTCCCGCAAACTCAGGTTTCTGGATTACCGTCCATTGCAAAAACAGACCAAGCTATCTCAAATCCTTTCTTGGTCATCTGAACTAAAATGCAGGGCGTGTTTAAGTTGATGATCACGGCCCTCTACAAATGACACATAATCTTCTACTGCACTATTCAATTAAGTCTGTGCAACATAGTGTCGCTCATGTGTTAAACCCGCTAAGGGATGAAACTCAAGTGCGGTCCACAGACATATTTTTGAACCAGGAACTTGTTGCATGCACCTGGTAATCTTGTTCTTGTTCAAAAAATAAATATAACCGAGTACGATCGACATCAAACTTGAAATGCTTGTTCTTTGGGCAATTGCGCATCAACTGACAGACTTCGATTTTTCAGATGGCGTCAAAATTTCAAGATGGCTACTCGGTCCCTGGTTCATATAATACTCTTGAATAAAATGTTATTTTGTGTTTTGTGAAATTTAAACTTGTAATTAAAAGTATTTATATTTTTTATATCAGGTGACGATGAAGATGAAGACGAGCATATTAATCCTTCTTTTAGTATTACCCTTTAATATATTAGTTGACGGTAAGATAACACGCTGAGATATAACTCTATTCAACCCCATGCGCCGGGGGGTGGGGCGTGAACGTCGAATCTCGAGTTATTCAAAGGTAGTCTCGATTTAACGTTCTGGAATGGAATTTAGCCCAACCCTGATTCTTTACATCTCAACCAACATCTGAAACATATGTGCTATATTTGATAACCTGGTGATTCTACTCGAACCTCACTGGTGTTCGTGGTTGACAGAAGTGTGAATAGGACTGAATTCACTGTCACTCGATTGCAAGATAGAATGCAGTAAGATAACACGATGTTATGTAACGCTAGTCATTGCGTGCGACATGGTGTGTTCTTTAACGTTAAAACAGCACAATACTTCGGCTATTCGGAGATTTTTATTTCATGTTTTATAAGGTAACCACTGTAATGGAAGCTTTTACCCGAGAGTCTTCAATGGTGCCATCAACTGTTGGCATTTACAAGTGATCTGTTGTTTTATTAGTCATGACGTAGGAATCTAAGTGACACAAGCAAGTCGCAGATTCGGACTATGTTTTCGTATGTATGAAACGTCAATTCGCCCGTATCTGCCTTGTCGGTGCACGTTATGACATGCACAGATATATAAAACCCTAAAGTGGAATAGGAAATGAAGTCATGAACATAATGTACATGCGATCCATTCCTTCTTAAGGCTGAAACGAAAGTGTGACGAGATATCAAGCTCTTACGATCGTATAAAATTTCCGAAGAGAGATTGGAATTTAGTTACTATCCTTATAAAGTACTCCCTCGTAACACATATACTATCTCGTGGCAGCTTTAAAACGACAGAATTATTATGTTGCAGGGGCGTTAAATAACAGTGTTTGATTTTGGCACTGAGCGCGTTGCAATGCGAGAATACATACTAGTATTTGATTTGCAATTCCGGAATACACACTTGTATTTTGTTTTAGTATTGCGTGGTCAAGTTTGTTAAATTTCTTCATACATTGCCAATTATAACATGCAGAACATGAATAATTATTATATTTTTAAACCAATGAAGCATACAATAAATTTTAAACCAATAAACTGTATATTTTGTTGTAAATTTTATACTTTCAAAGCCTTTAATTATATATATTTTTTCCTTTGCAGCATCCAAGAAAATATTTTGTTATTATAGTAGTTTTGCTCAAACGAGGGCGGGAATTGGGAAATTTTTACCAGAAGATATCGACCCGTTTTTATGTACCCATATAATCTACGCCTTTGTAGATATATCACCCAATGGTCGAGATTTGTTAAAATTTAACTGGAATGATGACGGTCCAAATGGTAAGATCGAACGAATTATATATCTCGAAATTTTCTCTTTTTTAAAATCAATTTTATTTTGAACATCGGAAAACCCCACTCAAAACCATTTTAAGGGAGTGAAATCACTTAATAAGGGGCCTGTATTCGAAATATATTATGTACCAGTACGTGCCATAGCGATTAAAATCTTAGCCTTAATTGCGCTTTATGCAACAAAGTCCAGGGTCCTGTTTCTCGAAATCTTAACTAAAGATAAAATCCAAATTTTAGTAGATATTTCAATTTTGATTGGCTAAGCACTAAAATCAATCTAATATTACCCAATCAAATTACTAAAATTTGGATTTTATCTTGGTTAAAATTAGGTGAAACGGCCCCAGGGTTACACTAGGTGGTCGTTGTTTCTCATTTGTATAAAGTTTTATTTTTAAAATCCATTCTAGGTTTATATGATAGAACTATATCATTAAAAAGCAAAAACCCACAGTTAAAAGTTTTATTGGCTGTCGGTGGATGGCAGATAGGATCCAAACCATTCATACCTATGATAACCAATGAATCTAATCGTAAACATTGGGTGAAGAATGTTGTTAGATATCTACGAAAGTAAGTTTAATTTTTATCCATCAGCGACTCTGCGGGGCGTCACATTTATGGGCTGTGACCTGTCCACTTTAATATCCGTGCCACAACAAATTGTATTTTCGCTCGTATTCTATGATAATTTAATAACATCACTGTATATTGCTTAGCGACGTTTTGACTGTCATTCTCTAGTCATTAGCAAGCAGATAATACATCTTTCGTGTTAAAACAATTTGTGCTGGTATTAGATACTTGAAAAGATCCGATTCTTACCACAGGTGCTTAAAGAGAATAAAACAATGCTTGATAGTCCCAGACTATCGCCAATAACATAATTTTCTCCTCTATTTAGATTTAATGTTATGCTTAATTTGGAAGTAAACATCAGTATATAATTATCACCGCACTGTTCGGATTATGTTGAAGTATAAACCGATATGTTTAAATTGATTTACCATAGATCACGTTACATAGTATGCATATCTTCTCACCCAACAGATACAGCTTTGATGGTTTTGATATGGACTGGGAGTTTCCGGCAACAAGGGGAAGTTCCCCACAAGATAAATATAGATTTACAACCTTAATGAAAGTAAGTCAATATTAGATAATTGTACATTCGTGTTGAAAATAGTAGAACTAAAGTTTGCGTCATTGGGAAATTTAAACACTAACACGTTTTTGTTGTACTTTTGTATTGAATAACGGGAGATGGGTGGCTGAATGGTTTAACGCACGCGTGCGCATTAGTTCATAATGTCTGTCATTGAGTCAAGTAGCGTGGTTTCGATTCACCGCTTGTACGTGACAAAGAGTAGGATGGCCTGTCCAACCCGGTAGGTTTTCTCTGGGTTCTCTAGATTCCTCCCACAGCTAAAGACCCCAATGTACAAGCGAATCATTTGAAGGACAATACTAGTGCCAGTCATTATCACATGTGTGATAGAACTGGTTAAACACGTTCCAAATATAATCTTAACACAGAGATCACTGCTGCGATAGATGCGTAATAAAGGTGTCTGTGTTAAAATTATATTTGGAACGTGTTTAACCAGTTCTATCACATATGTGATAATGTCTGACACCAGTATTCTTCTTTAAATAAATAGTCTGTGTCGAGTGGACGCTAAACACCATCTCTCTCGCTCTCTCGGCCTGTATATTCACATTTCAATAGATTGCGTTATGAGTTATAAATAAATCGCATTCTTACACATTTGTTTTCTAAAACAAAATCTAACACGGATAAAAATAAGCAATGACAATTCAAATATTACACCATTTTTATTTTCAGGAATTATACGAAGCATTTAGAATCGAAGCGGAAGAGACTGGTAATGAGAAACTGATTTTAACACTAGCAACAGCATCAGGAACATATTACATAAGTCAATCATATGAACCAGAGGAAATCATCAAGTAAGTGTATGAACCTAAAATTTACAATGAATACAAACTGTCCGCAATATCACCGGATTATAATGTATCTAATCGGAGTATGTCGGTATCATTTTACTTTTGATATTCCTCTACATTGGCAATGTTTCTTTGAAGCCGGTCTCCAGCTCACGTGAACTTACTGATCAATCGGATTGCCTGAATTGGTATGCTTTGTTCCGTTTTTGGTGAATTTTATAACTTTAAAATCCAAACCTATATAAGATTGTCTGATTGGTTTAGGGTGTATATGCCAGCCATGTTTCTTTAGAAACATTTATCTTTGATATCGCTCTCCATCCGTGATTAGAAGGGATACCTTATCTGATTTTCCTTTCGGATAAGCTACTGTCGCGTGGCTATCTTTATTTCGATCATTCATCAAATTACCTAAATGGTAACATCTGAAGTCGAAACTATCTATGGACAGTCAGGGTTCTGCACTTTCTAGAACGTTTGATTCTATATGGAGAAGTTCACATGCCTAGTAATGGGTTTTGTAATGTTTAATCAGAGCGGTAATGCAATTGAAAAAAGCACAAATTCTAAACTGATACGTTTGTATTACCAGGTACCTCGACTTTATGTTACTGATGACGTATAATTACCACGGTCAGTGGGAGAAACAAACTGGTCACCACGCAGGTCTCTGGAAACACAGAGATGATCCACCAGGAGAAAAAAGCGAATTACATCAGGTAAGCTGATATGAGTAGTTCTACATTAAATTTAATTTTAACAAGTTTCTGGGTTTACAGTGGTCATGTTATAAGTTGTGTGTGCCTTGGTCTATGGGGGTGAGCAGTGTGGGCTTCCGGTTAGGGAAATGAACACATCCTCGATAAAATGTCACTGATTGTCTACTCGATGTTATTCCCGTGTGGGCTTGGACAAGTCAGTATATTATGGTAGTTGAGTGGTAAGGGAACTTGATTCGCAACTAGGCTGTCCTTGGGCGGAATCCCAGCCACATTAGTGGGCCCCCCACAAAAATCTCAGTTGCGTCCAGCCCCCTCCTCTAGAAATGCCATCATTTCATAGCACTCGCATGGATTGGTCCACTGAAATAACGCCAGAATGCGCTAATTTTGTGGCAGAATTTTATTTTTTTCTGGGGGAGGTATTTCTAAATGGCTCCACACATGTGCCTGAAATGCCAGGAAATCACGTTTCCGGCCTCCAATTTCTGAAAATTGGGGATTCGAAACCACGCCAGTTGACTCAATGACAGGCCTTATGATACAGAGCGCACTTGCTAACCATTCGGCCATCCAACCCCCCACAAATAATATAACATAGTGTTTTATTATATTTCTTTTTACAGGTATGATAGTTGATTTAGTACAGAAATCCGTGAGTCATATCTTTATCAATTTATGTGTGCAATGCTGAATAACCGGTATTTATTTGGCTTGCTGTAATTTTGTTTAAAAAGGACAGAAAGCAGCTTTGATGGTTTAGAAATTAGTTAACATATGAAGTGACATAAAATGAAATAGGATTTAATGTCCTAGTTTTCTGCACCGACTAGGCTAATAAAGACAGGAATACACCATACAGTGTGCTAAGGGGGAAATTTTGCCCGGACTGTTCGTTGTCCATTCCCAGGCCCTCTGCCCTATCTCACTGACATAAGGGAACCCCGCCGGAAATCCCAATGAACTTTCTCGGCCAACACTGGGATCGAACAGGGGACCTCCAGGTTAGCCAATGTCTTACTCACTGAGCCACTTTGACCTCCGAATTGGTAAATAATCCCTTGTATTTAAACTTATATCACAAATAATTATAAATGTTTTATTAAATTAAATCTGTATGCTTCTATTACAATACATGTATTATCATACGCACGTTATATTATTGTCGCAAAGAATGCACCATACTATTGTTGTTATGAAAATATGGCCCTTGAGTGTATTTGAGTGAATGGAACATTGCTAATGGAATGGAATGAAGGAAATATTTGTATGTCGCCAAAGGTGGGATGCTTTCTAGAATTTGGGACACTAAGTTATACTCCATTTTAATATATTTGCTTTACTACTATCGGCAAAGTGTATAGCGATGGACTTTAGCGTCACTGTACCCGGGTCGGGTTTCGGCATCATATTGAATTTATTGTCACTTTTTAAGCTAAAGTATCATGTTTAATGTCACTATTTTAGCTAGAATATCAAGTTTAACATGTCTCTACTTTTAATTGGAGTGCCGGTAACGCTAGATTTAGTGTCACTATTTTAGCTAAAGCACAACGTTTAATGCCACTCGTAGTTCAGCTAAAGTAACAGTTATAATGTCAAAGTTTTAGCTAGATTATCGGAATAGGTAGCTGTAGGATCACTATCGTAATTATATGTGAATGGCTCTATCGTAGCAACGGATTGTACAGTTATACTTAGATGTGAGTGTCGATATTGTTAGCTATAGTGTAATTATTATATTAAGCTTCGGTATTTTGATATCTTATTTTTGTCACTGTTATTTCAAAATGACTGAGTTTTGTTATGTGTCCTGCAGTGCAAAATGGTATATAGTATTTTATTTTTATAAATGTCACCTTAGTTACGTTATAGTTTATTGTGTGTCGTAAATTATTGGTGTAGTGTCAATATTTACCGCGGTTGGGGAACTAGATACTCATGTAGCATATTCCGGACAAAAATGTCAGAGTGAGCCGAGCACATTGGCGTACCGATTTAAGAACTTATACATTCATAATACGCTTCCTTTAGCAAATTCACTTGATGCAACCACTCCTCCGTATGTTGTTAAAATGGCCTAGATATGTTACAGTAGGGAAATGTATAAATGTTACTTAATTAATCAATGGAAGAATATAACTCTTATCATGGCACTCTTGAATATCACTTTGGGTCTTATCCTGAATGTCACTTTTAATTAGTAGAATATTAGACATGCAGTATAGCTTGTTTATTACATATCACTGTCTTCTCGCATTACCGTCTCCTCGCATAGTGTCACCATCTCCTCGCATAGTACCACTATCTTCTCGTGATCAGCACGATAATCATGATATCTTATTAGAATAATTCCCTGGCAGATCGCAGCATAACTTAAATAACGGTCTTTGGTATCTTACTGGGGTGTTGCTCGAGGAATCAGTGATGATCTGTTATTTTAATGTCAATCGTGGTTTGTTACTTAGAATGTCGTACTATCTTATTAGATAGTTTTATCTAAATCCCACCTGTACGAAGCTCGTGGATTATAATGCCAATCAACAATTGTTGAATCTCATTAGAAGGCCACTAACGGTGTTATATCTTATAAGATTTAAATCGTGGTATTTTATGTCAATCGTGGTATCTTGTTGGAATGTCAATCGTGGAATCTCGGTACAATGTCGACTGTCGCTTGCTATTACAATGTTGTTCGTAGTATCGTATTGCAGTGCCACTCATTATATTTTATTAGAATGGCACTCTTGGTAGAATGTCGCCCGTGACATAGTATTAGAGCTTCATGTTATGCCAGATACAATTCTGTCGGTGGTTGTATCTTAGTAGTATTTATATATAAAATGAAGGACATGGTATTAGATTTCTACTCTTAGTGTCTTAGATTTTCAACCATTCTGATTTAGAGTATTGCAACACCTAGTATAAGCGGAATGTCGTCCATGTTATCGTGTTTTATGTAGAAAATATGCTTTGGCGATATGACACCATTATCCAGTTAACTGGATTATGGTCGCTAAATATAATGTCAATAGGTGATATATTAGTATGGTAGCTAAGTATTACGTCACTTGATGGTATGTTATTTTGGTAGCTAAATATGTCACTTGATAAGGTAGTATTATGGTAGCAAAGTATAACCTCACTTGGTGGCATGTTATTTTGGTAGCTAAATATAATGTCACTTGATAGTGTATTATTATGGTAGCTAAGTATAACGTCACTTGGTGGTATGTTATTATGGTAGTTAAATCGAATGCCACTTGGTAGTGTATTATTATGGTAACTGAGTATTATGCCACTTGGTAGAGTTTTATTGTGCAAGCTAGATATAATGTCACTGGATTATGTAAAATACCAGTAGGCGATGGGACGTAAGAATTTTTACACAAAGGTGATACCACGAGTTCATTTCCTAAATTACTATCGCATAGAAGCGAATCAAACAATAGTTTTTACAATCTGGATGTCGCTTGGTTGATAGTTTGGTGGTATAGGATTCCATTTTAATGTTGTCTTAATATACTCTTATTACACGAAGCACTGTTCAGTCTAGTTGTACAATACCAATTACTTGAGAATGTAGGTGTATGAAATTAAATGGCGTGGGTGTGAGTAGCTTTTTGAAATAGAATCTCGTGGGTGTGAGTTTGGTGCAGTCTAGTTGTATAATACCAGTTACTGGAGAATGTAGCTTTTTGAAATAAAATCTCGTGGTTGTGAGTGTGGTGCATTCTAGTTGTATAATACCAATTACTGGAGAATGTAGCTTTTTGAAATAGAATCTCGTGGTTGTGCGTTTAGTGCAGTCTAGTTGTATAATACCAATTACTGAAGATTGCAGCTTTATGAAATTTAATCATCTATGCCATCGTGTGTGTGTGAGTTTGAATGTTATAGCAGATTATGTATCATTGGTTGTTTTGCAATATTATAGAATGGTTGCAATAAATATCGTAAACGATAATCCCTAATACATGGTTTCATGGTTTATAGTCCTTAATGTATGAACATTTCAAACATTGCCTTGTATATTGCTCTATTTTATCTGTAACTCATTCTAGGACAAAACTTAAACTTGGTGGCATGTTATTATTTGTATGATCCGTATGACCCTAGTATTATAGAATGCACCCCCACCCGACCCTTATGATTGACATAATATGATACGACTAATGGCCCGCTCTTTATATGTTGATAATAAATAATTATGAATGTTGCCTTATATGCTTATTGTGATGGAACAGCTTGTTGCATGTTGGAGGATTTTTGTTTCAGGAATGGTCTATAGACTATTGGTTAGATAAGGGTATTCCTGAACATAAACTGATCGTCGGTATACCCACATACGGTATGAGTTTCACCCTTGCTGATCCTAATGAACATGGCGTCTTCGCTCCAGCTAATGGTGGGGGCCGAATGGGCAAATACACAAGTGAAGGGGGAATTTTATCGTATTATGAGGTATGTATTGTAGTATATCAGTATATCCTAAGGTCCCAATAACTTTTTAAGTTGTATTATCGAATTGCAAGAGTGGTTTCTTAGTGATAATATGGGGTTAAAATTAGTTGCGGACAACTATCTTTATAATATTTTTGTAAAATAATTTTCCCGGTAAAATATATTGATTCCATTTGAAGTAATAAAACAAATTAGCCTGGGCGAAGTTAGATTGCAAATATGCAACTAACCTTGTCATACCAGAAGATCTACACACAGATCTATTATCTCATTCATAGCTTCAAATTTGCTTATTTACTTTTAAATAATATTAAATGACGTCTATTAAACTTCTATCCATCAATGAAAGAGGAATTCGAAATGCCTTAAAAAGAAAAAAGATATTTAATTGGTTACATGAACAATCATGCGCTATTAATTTCCTTCAAGAAACTCACAGTAGTGTTTGCGATGAAACCGATTGGCAAAGCGAATGGGCGGATCGCATATTGTTTTCACATGGTAGAACTAACTCAGCGGGGACAGCTATTTTCTTGAAAAGTAACAACAACATTAATGTTATTAAAAACCAATCTGATGAAAATGGTTATTTTAACATCTTAGTAATAAGTATCTATAATAATATCTTAGTTTTAGTCAATACATATAGTCCTATATCTGACAGTGACCAGTACACTTATTATACAAGATTACTTAAATCTTTACAGCAGCTACGTGGTGAACTTGACTCGTTCTCAATGATAATTGGCGGAGATTTTAATAATGTCCTAAATGTTAAACTTGATAGATATGGCGGAAACTACAAACTGAAACGAAAAGGCCAAAATGCCATTTTCAATATAATTAATCATTATAATCTCTTAGACATATTCAGAATTTTAAATCAAAATAATAAGCGTTTTACTTGGAAACAAAAGAAGCCATTGATACAAAGTCGAATCGATTTTTGGCTCATATCGGAAAAACTCCAAGATTATATAAAATCATGTACAATAAAACCAACTTCTTTTACTGATCATTCATCAATTCATATACATATCAAAATAACTAATTATCCTCGCGGACCAAATCTATGGATATTTAACTCTTCGTTAACAAAAGACAAAACATATACTAAATTGATAAAATCATCTATACCGATATGGAAAAGTAAATATTTTGACAAACAAAATAAAAATGGTTTATGGGACTTCATTAAATTTAAGATAAAGGAATTTTCTATAGAATATTCCAAAAAGAAACAAAAACTTAAAAAAGCTGTAAAAAATAGCTTAACTCAGGAACTGATCGAGCTTGAATCCCTTATCAGTAAACAGGAACCTAGTAACAACAAAATTATCGAAAAACTTTATGATCAATATACCGAGGTTAAGCATTCATTAGACAACATTTACATTGATGAGACACAAGGAGCAATTATTAGGTCCAAACAAAACTGGTATGAAAACGGTGAAAAAAACACAAAATTATTTCTAAACTTAGAAAAAAAAGAAAGTGTGCTACTACAATAAAAAAGCTCCAAAAATCTGACGATTCTATTATATTTGACCCCATTGAAATATCGGGAGAAATATTCTTTTTTTATACAAACTTATATGCGTCGAGAGATTCGTGTTTTGAAAGGGAAAGTGATTTTATAACAAATTTTGGGCCTGTAGAAAGGCTAAATGATTATCAGAAAGATTTATTTGAATTCAAAATTGACTACTTCGAACTTCAGAAGGCCTTAAACTCGTTTAAAATAAATAAATCTCCAGGAAACGATGGTATCACAATTGAATTTTACCGACATTTTTGGCCTGATATTTATGTATTATTATTAGACTCATATAACTGTAGCTTTGAAGAAGAATCTTTATCCGTAACACAACGTCAATCAGTTATTAAACTCATTCCTAAAGGTAATAAAGATAGAACATGCTTAACTAACTGGAGGCCCATTACGCTTGTTAATGTCGATGTGAAGTTGGTGAGCAAGGTTTTGTCGAACAGATTAAAACCATTTTTGAACCAGTTAATACACCCTAATCAATCCGCGTTTATACCAGGTCGCCACATTCATGAAAATACCCGTATTATTTCCGATTGTTTTGATCTTGCAAAACAAAAAAGAATAATAGGCTTTCTTTTAGCTATAGATTTCAAAAAAGCCTTCGACAGCATAAATCATGATTTTTTAATCAAAGCTTTATCGTCGTTCGGTTTCGGGCGTAATTTTATTAGATGGATAAAAACCCTTTACAAGAATATCACCTGTTGTGTAATAAACAATGGATTTACAACCCCTTATTTTCATGTAAAAAGGGGTGTTCGACAAGGCGATCCAATGTCATCCAATCTTTTTAATTTAATCATAGAACTGTTACTATACGCTATTAGAGACGATGTAAATATAAATGGAATAAAATTTGGACGTAAAACCATAAAAGTTGTAGCTTTTGCTGACGATATAACGGCATTATTAAAAGATTTTAGCTCTGCGCGTCATTTGTTTGAGATACTGAGACTTTTTGGTTTAGTCTCAGGACTTATAATTAACGTTAATAAAACAGAGGCTATAGATTTAAACAGCTGTGATATGAATTTAATGCAAAAATTAAAATCAACCGGTATAGTTTCATGCGAAAAAGTCATAAAAATTCTCTGGATACATTTTTCAAAAGACACTCATATTACCGATGAGTTAAATTTTACAAATAAAATAAATGAAATAGAACAAATATTAAAAATATGGGATAAACATAAATTATCTTTAATTTGAAAAATACAAATAATTAAAACATTTTGTATTTCAAAAATTCTTTACCCGGCAACTGTTAATCCAGTGTCGGACTCTACTATTCAAAAACTAAATTCAATATTTTACAAATTTATATGGAACGGACCTGATAGAATAAAGCGAGATATTCTTATACAGAACAATAAAAATTGCGGATTAAAAATGATTGACTTAAAAGAATTCCTAATATGTAATAGCATTTTTTGGATTAAAAAAATATACCAGTCACCCTTTCAAACATGGCTCATACCAGAAAAGCTAAATTTAAACATTCCTTTTTATAAAAACCTTTATGCCAACTGGTATAAAATTTACACAACACATATAAAGAACATTGTCCAAGCTAAAAATCAAATTATTTGGAATAATACAAATATAAAGATTAATAATAAAATTATATTTTTAAAAGTTTTTTTTAACAAGAATATTTGGTATGTTAGTGAATATTTTGATAAAATAAATAAGATCGATGCTCAATATTTAGAAAAACATCAATTTATCTTAAATGGAATAGAAAAATGTATTTTGAGGTATGTACAGGAACCGAACGAATTTGAAAGTGCGATACATACCAATTTTAATTGTAATATAACTCCTTTGGAAGATATAAATACTAATTTTTACAAAATATATAATACCGATTTTCACAACGTGGATTCAAAAGATATTTATGATAGCCGGATAAAAGCAAAGTTCAGCAGGCCAAAAGCCATTGCAGAATGGGAATACATTCTAAATACCGAGTTAAGCGATCTAGACGTAGAAAACACATTTAAAATAATAAACACTGTATGTCTTAGTACAAAACTGAGAAGCTTTTAATACAAATATCTCCATAGGATTATATTCACAAATGATAAATTATTCAAAACTAGAAAAGTAGATAACACACTCTGCACATTCTGTGAATCTAATATAGAAAATGTAGAACATCTCTTTGTTTTCTGCCCATTTTCACAAATAATATGGAATCATTTTCATACTATTTTAGATCGCAGCAATATAAAGATAGATATAAAAACACATATCAAACATTTTGGTTTAACTAACAAACCAGATTATATAAATAATACTGAATGGATCTTCATTAATCATGTAATTATTTTAACTAAGTTCTATATATATCGGACTAAACTACGAAACGAAATACTGAATATTAATAAGTATGAAAGCTTTTTAGTAGAACATGCTAAATTGGAGATTGAGATATCTCCGGAACTATACATAAATAAATGGAAATATCTTTTTAAGACACCCTCCATACTGATTCCTCATTGATGGATTTATGTACTTAGATCTGTGTACAGAAGGGACCCTTGTAATTAAGCGTTTATAAAGCACAATATAAATAAATGTTGTAACATATACTTGTAAATAATGACGTAAATAAAAGTGTTGCTTTTTTAAAAAAAAAAAAAAAAAAAAAGGTATGATGTATTCCATAAAGAGTATCCATACCTACACCGCGCTCGACATTCATCATTACTTAAAGCTAACTTGATCGATAGTTTAGAACCGTATTCATAATACCTGAAATCTAAATACTTATTTGATAACAATGGAGAGCATCTACTTGCAGTGCGATAATATATTAATGTATTTGTTAATTTATGGTTTGTTATTTATTTGTAGCCTCATAATTGTATTTTGTATTGTTATTATGTCTCATATTCTTTCAGTTAATTTTATATATAAAAAATTGTTTTGAAAAGTGTTTTCTGTATTTGGTTTGTTGTTGTTGTATATGTTTGTAGCTTTAGTCATATTGTAATACACTACAAATCTTGTCCCCTTAGTAACGTAAGTATTCCTTTTAACATTCTTACTTTATTTATGAACGCACCCGTCCCTCCCCATTTTCGGAATGGAAGTACTAGTCTTTTAGTCAGCAATTTTTAGTTTTTACTTAACCTACAATTTTAGTTTTGGAGTTTCTTTCATTTTATTTTCCAATAGTCCGTATATCAAATCACTTTAATATCAAAGTAAATTTACAGTAAATGGAGAAATACCAGTTTCTGCAAAATCTGGATTTGGAAATAATGACTTTTTCCATCAATAATGGATAATAAAAAAGATTATGTCCTAAGAAATACCGGTTTCTGTAAATCTAAATTGGGAAATAATGACTCATGTACATAGTAAATAATCAAAAAGATTCCACCCTATGTAATTATAAGCGCGCAATGTGGATCTACAACATCGCCCAGAACCGGACCCATCAATTTCTTATTATATCCAAATTAATAAATGTTATAGAGCAACTACTTTTTTAGCTTTCATTGTGGGAAATAATGAACGGTGAGTAATTCAGTGGGAAAGTCATAGCATCAGTATATTCTTCAGCTATTCATATCATCTATGTATTATTCAGCTATTCAATAACCATAATCACGTTTTCTAGAGCTTCAAAACTAATTAAAGTTGATAGTTATACATACACATGTCAGACAGTGTCTGTCTCACTGAACACCAGAAAACAATGCTAGATTTAAATTTTTACAAATATATAAGAACAGAAATAAAAATGTTAAAGTGTATTAAAATTATTTTTGAAGTTCAATTTTAATGAATATAGAAATTTATTCAATTTACTAACGCTGTGTGTATCTGCTATGGTGTGACAATATCAAGTGTTTTCTCCTTTTCAAACCTCTGCATTAAGACTCAATAATATACGGCGATTTTACTAATAATTGCATTTCCCCTATATAAAAGTGATAAACTACACTTAAATTGCACTTTTGATTTTGCATATATTTATATAGAAGTCTGTTACTAACACAAGCAAATAACAAACTCTAATATTGTTAATCTGGTTATTAATAAAGTATTAACAGCATAGAAGGTTGGTAGTATTGTGGACTCGTCTATTATAATTTGCAACCGGTGTTATGATATTCAATTTCCAGATTCTAAATGAAAATGAAAATGAAATATTATTTGTACTTTGCTGTCATTTAATATAATATAATAGTGTATTTTAACAAAAAGGAGAGACATACACTTACGTTAATTGAAAAAGATCCAATTTCTTTAGAAAGACGCTATTTTTATACGTAAACTACAAAAGGCAGGTAACCTTAATTTAATTGCTTAAACATTCACGCTTAATGGACATATTGCAATACACAAGAGAGATAACTTAAGTGTGGAAGCACGTGTGATGACTAAATGCCATTTTGTGTTTTAGGTCTGTGAGAATATTAATCGTCATGGTTGGAAGACGGAATGGATTGATGACCAAGGTGTACCATATGCTTATGGAGGCGATCAGTGGGTCGGATATGAAAATTTAGAGAGTATCAAATTAAAGGTAAACATTTTTTGTTAAATTTAATATATCAATTTCGTGGAATAATGAATTTATAGAGGACACGAAGTTCAATATTCGATGTGCTGCTCAGTAGCGATATTATAATTTGTAAAACAAACAATAATAAGGAACGGGCACGAGGAAATGTTCCGTGTTGTTGTTTTGTTTCACTAGAACACTAGTGAAATGTAACAAACGTAGCAAGTAACATGTCTTGCAACTTTACATTGATAAAAACATTAACTTCATTAAATATAATATTGTAATCACGTACTTATTCATAGATTTTGGTTAAACTAATATATAATTGCTATTATTTACATCGTGTCAGACGCTGGTGTAGAATAACCTATGCTTTATTGTGAAACTGTGATATTATTTATTTCAAGGCTGAAAATATCATCCGAAGAGATGTAGCTGGAGCATTTGTATGGTCTGTAGAAATGGACGACTTCAGTGGAAGTTGCGGACGTGGCAAATACCCACTCCTTAATACAGTCGTCAAAATACTTCAACCTTATGGTGGTCGCGCTCAAACAGCCCATGCTACTACTACCCCAAGATATATTCCTAGCTTCGCTCCAGCTCCCATAGATAAACCAACCAGAGATTATGTGAGCAATACGCGAGAACCAAAAAGAAGTCGGCGTCCATTATTTACTCGAGGTCCAAACTGGAGAACCAAGTGGCACAAACGGCCAAAGAATAACTGGGATGATGAAGAGGGTGTAAACACCTTAGAAAAAAGGACCACCGCCAGACACTGGAATGCCAGACCAACTGGTAGACCAAGCAGTGGAGATGTCATTCAAATTCACACAACCCAGAGGCCGAGTTATATTGATCAAACTATAAGACCGGCATGGAAAAAATCTCCATGGAAGAAACCGGGAACCAAATCCCCATCAGCAGGTAGGTACATTGATGGTAATATCAAGTATTTCACAACAAATTTTAATACAACCTTTCTCCCATCACAATTACCTTATTTGCCTACAAATTCTTGGCCTTATCTGTTGTGCATGGAATATTGGAAGATTCTAACCTATATTTATTTATATTTTATTTTTTCAGCTGGAAGTAGTGATTGTTCCCGATTAGGTGTGGGTATGTTCACTGATCCCGCTTCCTGTGAAAGATTTATAATGTGCCTCCCAGGAGCTTGGTTAGAATATGGACCAATCCGAATGGCGTGTCCAGCTGGTACTAGATTTGATGAAAATCTCAAGATCTGTAATCACGCCAGTAGTGTGGAATGCTGGGTTTAAACCTTTTTGCTAAATTTTCCATCATCGATGACGACCTTGACAAAGTTTAATGGACTCGAATTACTTTTATATTTATATAATTAGACAAACGTACCTCTTCTGATGACGACTAAGGCTATGATTTTATGGACTACGATTTATTTTTGATTTGAAGTTGTATACCATTCATTATGAATGGAAGTATTACTTTTAATCAATTTCGCCTTGACGACCTGTTTCCGTCCCCGGACTTCGAGGTTAGCCTCAGATTTGGATACACGTAGTCCTATTTCCTAGTCTCGCGTTTGGTTCATGGAAACTGTATTTTACGGAGGAAGACAAGAGAGTAAAGGAGGAGTTTTGTCACGTATATAAACATTCTAATTTCAAAATACTTACAATGGGGTGTTAGTTGTCATTCGATAAAGAGAACAAATATAATCGAACTTAACTAGTGATCAAAAGACCAATCGATAAAGAGAACAAACATAATCGAACTTAACTAGTGATCAAAAGACCAATAGGCGTATTCGGCAAAATCGACTAACGATAGCAAGTGGACATGAGAAAATTCCTATAATGGATCGTGATACCAATAGCAGATGATGGCAATAAAACGTTTGCAATGCAACCTTTTGTCTAGTTGATAATAATCATTTTTTCATCAACTCCGAACTGGTACACATTCAAATGGTTCCACTGTGTAATGATTACAACGTCATTCCATTTAATGGAATATAAGCAAACAGTATTATCAAAAACATTCAAAATGTCAAATTATTGATGAGTTGGACCTGATAGGCGTACCCATGTCCCTGTTTGTTTCAAGTGTTACTGTAGAAAATTACAACATTTGGTGTAGTAAACGCGCCTGTGTGTTTCAGATGCCAATGTTATTTGTTTATTAATCTACACATTTGTTTATGTTTTGTTCATTTGTTCGTTTTATTTTGAATAATGTGTCGCGAGTAAGGCCGGAGAACAAGTGTTACATATGTGCATTCTTCATATGGGTTACTTAAAGACTATATTCCATGTTCGAAATGGTGAAACACAGACTAAATCAAATATTTCAAGTATTTGAAAGTGTGAGTTCTCGGAAAACACGATCAAAATAAAGTGGTCAGCATTGCTTGTGATAGAAATTTCACTAATCGTGAAGGAGGGCTAACTATACGAAGTCTATATGTTTCTGGTGGGAGGCCAGGCTATGAACAAACGAAGTCTTTATTATAATGACATTTAAATGACAGCAGTTCAACCCATGACCATATTCATTTAGTATGTAATGTAGTATAGCTGCATATATTTTTAAAATAACTTACTACTTGTATTTAAATATATATCTATTGTTGCAATTATTTATTATATATATATATTTGGTATATAAAGTATTACAATTTATCAAAATCTAATACCCATTTCGTTAAACTATATAACTATAGGATGTAAAACTGGCCACTGTCCCGCCAAACTATACTACCAGCCCAGTATAGTATTATAATCAGATTGTAAATTTACACGCGCGCATGACTTCTTTGATTACAACACATGCGCAATCAAAAAGGACTATAGTGACTAGCAACCACCCAGATCCTGTCACTTATTTCAAGGAGTGTTTAATTGCTATGCATACATCTGTGAATCCGGTGATGGAGATTCTTCCGATTCATAATCACGACTATTCACAAGTCAGCAACAGAGCTAATCATTCTGTGAAGTCAAATCCAGATTCGTTAAAATTGTTGGTCTGTGACTCGACTTTGGGTAGGGAATCTAGATTTGGATTCCTGGAAATGTAATATGCTCTCAGCTGCCTGAAAGAATCCACTCATCTATTTTATTTTATTTTCATATTGAGCGATGCATTCTGCTATTTGTGTTGTACGTGTTTTTGTTTGGAATATTTGATTCAGATCTTACTTGAGGTAGATAATATTTAACCACACACACCAAAAAAAATAGAAACTTTTATTTTTCTTCGTGTTTATTAATACAAAAAATGTTGTGTTGGTGTTATATCTGCTTCAAGTGAATTCATAGGATAACATTCCCGAGACAGGAGTTAACAGGATATCAGCTAATTCTTGTTGGGATAGTTTTCCAATGAAACCCTATTTTCTGAGTTTTTTGTAAACTTTACAAGAAGCAACAGAAGGGGTGTTTATAAGGTTTAGGACTGTCTGTATCCCGATCTGATAAAATATTTATTTATACTTTTATTTAATAAAACATCCTATGGTATATTTCATGTATAAAAGTTATAGAGTGTGTATCTAAGCAAGACTTGTCTGATTTTTGTTCGAATTCAAATCTAAATATTTTAGCTGGACAATAAAATTATTTTTTAGTTTTCTTTATATGCGATTAATAGGAAACGTATTCTACTGAAATGACCCATTGAGAGTGCGTCCTGAATTAGGAGAAAAGTCGCACTGTGTGTGTTCTCGGTACGAGACGTTGAAATGTAAAATTTTAAATATATACACATATACAGATATATCTTTTAACCACTTAATGTCAATCCAAGAGCGAAGTATAAAAGAAATAAAAGAAATTTGAAATTTAGCGCTAAATAAAATTACAAAATACACCATTGTCTTAGTCGAACTGCGACATGATAAACGTTGACATAAATCTTTTGATCAATATATGTTCAAATTCTTAGAAGCCCAGATAATCTACAAATATAATAGTTAAGAAAAAACACGTGTAGTTATTTTATTATTAAGGCAGTTGCCGACGCGGACTGCATAGACGATAGACTAAGTATGCCAAACCTTATGATCTATTTGAAGAAGGTTGGACTGATATATTTTTTTATGTTTTATTTGAAGAGATGTTGCTTTTGTGATTTGATACTGCTTTTGACTTTATATTTGACTTCTATTCTAGTAATTTGTGAATTTTGATTTCAAAAATAAAAAGACAGAGAATATTTTGTGAGAATGATTTTCTCTAGTGTTTCTGATAGGCTACTAATTATATTGTTTGTCAGATTGCTGTATTTTGTTGAAATGTTGTATACCAAGGAACCATGGTAACTAAATAAATATTTGTGTGATGTATATTGTACACCGTACGGTATACTTGTAAATAAATTTGCTGCATTAATACTCGTCAGTTTTCAATTAATTTGCCTTGCCAAAGGCAAACTTCCTTGAGATTGAGATTAATTGATTTGGGTGGCCGGGTAGTCTAATGCGTATGCTTTAGATCACAGGAGGTCACTGATTTAAGTGTCGTGGTTTCGATCCCATGCTTTACGTGACAAGAATATGATCACATGCCTAACCTCCTGGTTTTTCACAGAAAATTTTCCTTCCACAATTTTTTCGACCTACTCTTACGAATGAACACCCTTTTCTTGTCATGCCAGTGAACATCGCTTCTATATAATGACCTGCATTGGCAAACAAGAGGTTAAGAATGTCAACGTAACGTTTTGTCGTGTACCAGTTTTGGAATAAGTTACATATTGCACCAGCAGTAATTGTTCGTAAAAATTCCTATATTATTTTTATCTTTACACGAAATGTGAAACATGTGGTTGATGTCACATTCGAAGTCTTCATTTGAAAATAAAAGATATATTATTAAAAGACGTTATAAAATAGTATGAATTTATTTTTTTTAAATTTCAGTTAGTTTCTTCCCTCATTATTGATCCCTGATAAAGATAAAATAAAACTGAACATCATGTATCACTATACAATATCTCCACCTTATCACGATGAAAATTAGTAGTGGGAGAAATCCCAAGGTATTAGAAAAATCATCATATTATGCCTTGTCCAGGCCTATGATCATAACTAAAACACGTGCCTCAGGCACAGATCGTATTAGCTAAGGCCCGCACACCCACCCACAATACACACACAAACACAACATGTTAATTTTGAAAACATGGAATTTTCAAGCCCGGGTCCTAATTGTCATGGTTGACACCTATGCCTGGTCGTTCGGGTCGGAAAGAATATCGACGTAAAAGAAGCCTTAGCAGTTGGAATTCAAACAAAAGTAGAAAACGCCTATATCTGGCCAAAGTTTATTCACCATACTTTACATACGTAACCAAACTATAGAATGCATAGTATTAGTATTGTTTTGGTGACACTTTAAATTCCACTAGTCTTAACCAATTTGGGAAATGAAATGAAATGAAATGGGGTTTAACGGCTAATGAAGACGGGCATACGCCATACAGTGTGCTATGAGGGACATTTTTGCCCGGGCAGCGGCACTATCGCCTACTCTTATATCGAATTCCAACTGCCAAGGGATCTTTTACGTGCATTCCAATGTTTACACGGGACCTCGGTTTTTCGTCTCATCCGAAGGACTAGACAGCTGTCCTTGTCAGGCCCTCTGTCCTGCATCACTGACAAGGGGAAACCACGTCGGAAAAAACAATTTGGGACTATATAGTTTTCTTGGTAATTTAAGTATTTATTCGGATGAAAATAAGCGCTGAGGGTCAATCAAATGAACTAATTAATTATGGGTAAGTGAAATACCTTTTTTTTTTTTTTTTTTTTTTTTGTGCTACCCTGTGCGACAAGTTATGGAGAGATTCTAAAGATTTTCATAAAGCACAAAATTAAATACTTACATGTAGACCAAATAACAAATTAATTGACAACCAGGGTAAACATATGCCTCACATTGTTTATGACACTGTCGTGATTTGTTATCCACGACCTCTTCGGCAATATAAGCAGTTAGAATATAATTCAGATTTATATTAATTGGTTTTTTTTTAATTCCTGACAAAAGGGGGACACATAATAGTCTATTTATAATGCGCTGTTGCCATGACTAATTCATTCCATTCTGTTGGAGCAACATGTGAAAACACTTCTGGCCGAAACGAACAGTTTTGGATGTTGGCACAACAAGAAGATTTTTATCTAGGGATCTGGGGTGTATTCTACCTGTAGATCCGGAAGATAATTTGGAGCACTGCCTTCATGGTTTAAATATGTCATTTCGGGGCTAACACATGGTTCAATTTTATTTCAATAATTCTCTTGTGGGCATGGGTCTTTAGCAGTGTGTGGAAACCAGGGTACCCACAATACACACATAAGGTTAAACAGGCGACCTTGCTCCTGGCCACGTATAAGCGGGGAATCGACACCACTCCATTTGACTTAATGGCAGACCTTATCATTTACAGCGCACGCGTTTAACCATTCAGCCCCCTTCCCTCAACCAAGGAATATAAACATAAATTCGGTACGACCTGTGTAACTAGAAACTGCAGCTCTAACTCAAAATTTTCCATAACATTTGAAATTATAATTCAATTAGAATTCAATATTAGTCAATTTCAATCAATACTGATGTTGTTACCTTGCCGTGAAAATGGCATCTTAATATCTAATATTTAAGACACAATGAACATTTTATAATCAGTTCACGAGTCGTGTATTCTATAGTTTCGAGTGCCATTTATTGTAAATAACAATAAAATATATCCTACAAGGCAGTGCGGAAGTAATTAGTAACAGCTGATTCACAAATGACAAAATAATAATTCCAAGAAAGGTATAAAATCGACAAGACAGGCGTAAATGAATGTCGTTCAATTTGGACTGTTCACGCATTCCCCCGAACATAATTGATAAGAAATCATAATATAATTTTTAAAAGATTAATTTTAACGCTTTCGTATATTTCAAGGATCCCAATAATATAAACGCACGACCTTTAAACACTGCCAAAATACCTTAATATTATATTTAACTGATAGAGCCATGCAGAATGTTAAATATTGGTACCCCAAAATCGGCAACATGATAGGAATAATCCACGTCAAGCAAAACTGTATAAAAATACGCACACCAGCAGCTTTTCAAACGACGGTCGTCTATCATTGATGGACGATGAATTTATGAATTCAACCTTAACATTAGTCAAACAATCCCATAAGTTCGAACGAAATACATATCAGATTTGCTACCAGTGGTCTTAACTCTGCGAATAGTCGAATAGGGGCAATTATTCATAACTATCCAAACAATGCTGGCAAATTTGAAATAAAGTCCCTAAACTTCTTACCTACAGAGCGTTTACAAGAATTGTGAACGGACAATATTCAAGACAATATATCCCTGCACGAAATGTGGCCGTATAAAAAGCCTTTTTTAAATGGACGCAACTTTTGCAAGAATATATTGTAAAGAGTAGTATTTAAAGTTATAGAAAACTGATAATTTTTTTCGTGAATGAATTATATACAGAAAAGGTGTCACATAATCTTTACTGTCCTTGAATTGGACGCAACTTTTGCAAGAATATATTGTAAAGAGTAGTATTTAAAGTTATAGAAAACTGATAATTTTTTTCGTGAATGAATTATATACAGAAAAGGTGTCACATAATCTTTACTGTCCTTGAATTGAAAATCAGTAAGGTTCAGATATTAGAAAGAAAAATCACCAATACACAAAATCAAAACAAGAAGAAAAATGATTTGCTTGATTAATGGCCTCATTTTACTTGGATCAATTCACGCTAATAATTTTCACTAACTGTTCTTTTAGTTTTATAAGGGTTCTGACACCTGGCCATTTCCCACATTTAAAAAAAAAACGGAAATAAAAAAATTAATCAGAGATAGATAAAATTAATGTTTTTTTTACCATGACTAAGCAATTGGAACATGACAAACACGATAAAAAGAAGCGATAACATTTATTAGGAATACGGTATAATGTAATTTAAAGCTGCATATTTCATATATAGCTAAAGTATAACATTCTGATGATTTTGTCCATGTCCAAGTCGACCAACTTCCTACGAATACATACCATAATGAAATGATAATCACAACAAAGCAGATGTCCATCCACACATGGCACTAAGTCTTGGATGGCGATTATTTGGGTCTTCTAGAAGGGTATAGATGACTTGCGGGTGGATTCTTGGCACCATTTTATGCTGTTACCCCTGAAACGCAGCTATGCTCTGTGATATGACACTATTGTCCATGATTGTAATGAGGCCGATTGCGAGGCATCTTATGTAATCAAAATGCATGATTACGCACTATACAATTCTGTCTTAAATTATCTTAAAACAAACTAGGTACGCTTAAAACAAGACCCTCTTAAAACGCGAAGGCAATGATACAATTTCAGACCGCTTACCCCCGCCCCCACCACCAAACAAGTAGCCGTATTTCATTAAGGTATACATTGCCTTGTGGCACTATTATGATAATTTCATATCCTCTGTTTGTCGACAATTACTCGTCAAAGACCACGAATCGATTCAATAGTCGATGTTAAAATATATATATATACATGTATATATCACCCAGGACATGGTCGGTCAATTATTAGCATAACTTTTGTTAGAAATGGTTACGATGGTCGCGCATGAAGCATTGAGGTCTCGTATTCTTATCTGGCACACTAGCCGAGGGCAACGATGGCTCAATGAATATAGGCGCTGGCTCACGAAACCGATCATCTAGGTTCGATACTGGTGTTGCCAGCGTGATACACATCGGCATGCACGTTAATTAGCCATTGACCATTTGAATCGAAATAAGAGTAGACCGTGGCGCCGCTGCCCAGGTTGAATTTCCTTAGTATGCCCTTCAGATTAGCAGAGGGTTAATTTCATATGATTAACCCTTAAAATGAGGCTTTAATTCTAAAAATAACTCAAGCTTTGGGGACTTAAAATTGTTTATTTCTCGAATCAATGGATTAGAGTATCATCAATAAAAATAGTAAATAGTAGAAAATTGTAAATAATGATTAGGAATATATTTGTTATTATAATAATATAGGTATTATATATGGTTATAAAAAAATATATTTGCATTTACTGTATTTTTCTAAGATATTAAGACGGAACTTACTGGTTATATGACGAACTATATGAAAGAAGACAGTGACTGTCACGTCATATTTCATGCCAGTATTAGCCTTCATGTTGCGACACACGATTAATCCAAGGGATGTACTTTCAGATATGGCCCAAGGTCGGTAATTATTTCCCCTTATTCCATGATGTAGTGCGAGTTATAAATAGACAATTTTTCCTTTAATTGTTATCTACTCTTTTCTGCATTTTTTCGGTTGACTTTTTTTTTCATTTCTTGACCCCAGTCAACATCAAATCCTCATAGCAAAAAATCTAAACAGTCAACCCCCTACTAAAGTATGATGCAGAGATTACCAAATGCGGTCCCCTTTGTGCCTATACAAATTGGAACCAACGGAATGTTAAACAAAACGCTACAGTCTGTAATGTTACAGCTATTTAACAGTGACGTCAATAGGCAAAAAATTGGTGGTCTGAAACCATTCTCAACTCAAGGGAAGTAACTGGTGATATCTCAAATTAACGGTAAAACGGTAAACAGCCAAAGAATTATCAATACAAAGAGCATAAATCAAAGGAAGCAACTAGAATTTCCACAATCATCTGTGAATGAAGGATTCCCTATGGCAAATATTGGTAGTCAACAGACATAAATTAGTCTTGCCATTTTCATTAACACTTTAGAATCAACCGCACGGTAATTTAAGTACCCAATAACGTCCACAATTAATATGAAAATTAATTTTGAATGTCGGCCGTCTTTAAACTTTTGTTCCTTTTGTTTTGAGTATATCATTTTTCTTTACGATCATCATTTCCATCTCCGCAGGGTTATCTTTTCTGTCCACGAAAAATGGTTGTTTCTTCTTTAAAGCAATAATAAGAGCAACCACATAGAACAGGGTTGCAATACATCGAGCACCGACAAATAATGTATGGTATTTCACTCTCAGGTCATCTATATCATACATACTGCACGCCCCCTTTCCTGTACACGTGTCAGACCAAATCAAGCACGTGGTATCAATGATCTTCCCATAAACCACCGGTCCCGGAAACCAACCTATATAATTATAACATTTATGATCACCATAAACACACGTATCACGAACAAGCTGAATTGAAAATAAATCAAAAGGAAAACAATGCTAAAATCAACCAAGATGATACTAGTACCAAATGAAAAGTCCCCTTAATAAAATGGCTGGTCGTTCAGCTAGTTTGAATCTAGCACAAGGGTTAACTGAACATATTGAACCGACCTACGTTAATATTGGTTGCAGTCGAGGAGGGCTAATGAAGACGACCATACACCATACAGTGTGCTAGAGTGAAATTTTGCCCGGACAGCGGCACTACGGCCTACTCTTATATCGAATTCCAACTGTCAAGGGATCTTTTACGTGCACGCCAATGTGTCCACGGGACCTCGGCTTTTCGTCCAATCCGAATGACTACAGACAGCTGTCATTGTCAGGTCCTCCGTCCTGCATCACTGACAAGAGGGGGGGGGGGAACCACGCCGGAAAATCTGGATGAACTTTCTCGGCCAATGCAGGGATCGAACACGCGACCTCCAGGCTAATTGTGTATAGAGATATCCAGTAGTTTCTATAAAACATTACGGTCGAATGACATATTTAAGAAGTTGGTGTTAAATTGACCTTTCATCTAGCCAATGAACAGGGGTTAGCTTCTGCAAAGTTAGATTTCAGAGAATTAAACAGGCATTATGCAAGAGCCAAATCTGTCTATTGCAGGTCTTTCTTTAGCCACTTAAATTTTATATAAATTATTAATTAGATATTAATTAACTTAACAAGACCGTAATAAACTCTCGATGCCATCGGATGGCTTTGATATTCAGTAGATTTAAATAAGTTTTGCTGTTGATGATTTACCGTAAACATGGCTAATCAAGGCTTGGTTTATTATCGTAAAAACGGTAGCAATGACAATTGAGGCTACACTGTTATTGTATCGCCGATGTCACGGCTCAGAGTGAAGTTATTTGATCGAGATATTTAATATATTCCCTTCTCATTACCTATTTTTAACTAATATAGCGAAAACTGTCAGCTCTTTATCGAATCTTACCTAATGCCACTTTATAATAAAGGTATAGTTAGAAGTGTAAGCAAACAAAAATTAAAACCGGAGAAACCTATTGGGGCTGTGACCACAATTTTATTTTATAAAGAAGTAACATGTTCTCACAAAAACCGAAAGATACGTTCTTCATTTTTAATTCATAGCTTAATCTATCGTATGCCAGTGACGCCAAAACGCCTTTATTTACTTGGCGATAAATTATAGTAAGGCCAGTTATATAACTTTCCATTATGCCATGTATAGTTAGAAGTGTAAGCAAACCAGAATTAAAATTGGAGAAAACTATTGGGGCAGTGACCACAATTTTATTTTATAATGGAGTAACATGGTCTCACAGAAACCGAAAGATACGGTCTTCATTTTTACTTTATAGCTTAATCTATCGGATGCCAGTGACGTCAAACACATTTATTTAATTGGCGCTAAATTATAGTGAGGCCAGTTATATGCTAGACATTAATATGGTCTTTGGCATAGGGTTTGTTGCTGATATATTGGATTAAGTGGAAAGGCATCAGTTACTATTCTATGTGCTCCATGCTTTCATATGGAACCTTTTTTATAACAGGCGAGAACTGATTAGTCATTGTGTTAGCCTTGTTTCATTGCCATTATGACAATACTTTGCTAACGAGCTTCCCGAAAGCTCAACGGGTTATTATCCGTACAATTGTTTACTGGGCCAAACCGGTTACGGAGTCACACAGTGACATAAACAAATATTTCATTATTTTGTTTCGCGTCGTTTTAATTAAAGTAGCTCATTACGTTAACAATTCTAGTGTGGGTGGGGTTCGGGAATGCCTTTGGGGTGGGGTAAAAATAATGCGTAGGCTTCTTTTCAACCATCCCTGCATTTTTTGAAGCATCGTATTTCATTGCTTAAAGCTATCCAGAAGCTTTCGAAATCCTGGTTCGAATTGTGGAAAGAAATACAAACCTAGTAATGTAGCTAAGAAAGCTGACATGCCGATTCCTAACGGCTTATCGGATTCTTTGATACTTCTGTAATATATAATATATGAAACTCATATCAAAAGAATTTATAGGATATGGCCAATAGGTGTGTAATCAAAGGACGATAACTCGTTATGTTTTGTAATTCATTATAACGAACATATAAACAAACAGGAGGAAAATAACAGATTACCAAAAATATTAACCATAAGGACAATCTAGAATAAAAAAAAAATCAGTAATATCTGATTATATAAAAATAGTTTTTGAATGGGTAGTACTGTGTTGACTCAATAATTCCGAGAATTTGTTTGCATTGGATAAACATTAAAATTCTTACCTGACGGATATAACGAAGTTTGGTAATATTATCAAAGTCGATACAAAGGCACCGACAAAGTTAAAGGCGACATATGGCCATATTAAAGGACATTCTCCTACACATAAACCTGGTTCTGCCGTAGATTTTTCATCTTCAATACACGAACAATTGGTAAACAACTAGAAAGTACAACAATAATAATATGGTTAAAAAGGGCCCTGCATTTTTGAGATATTCTCCGACCGTAAAAATAATTTGCCGATTTCCCGTTGTTTGACTATACAGTTACATCGAACATGTTAAATGTATTCTATATCTCACCGAAGGTTGGACGCAGGTTTGTCTTAATCATCTCAAATTGATAATTATATCTTACGAACGGCTTAAAATTAGCTTTTAAAAATTATACACCAAAATATTTGAAAAATCGGTAACTCATCGGTGAATTAGCTCACCTTCCATATACGCGTTGCCGTCGGCGAAATATTATACACCAAAATATTTGAAAAATCGGTCAACCCATCGGTGAATTAGCTCACCTTTCATGGACGCGTTGTCGTCGGTGGAAAAAATTCATCCTAATGCAAATTTGTAATGAAATGAGACTAGGATTAACGTCCTACTGTTCTGAACCGACTATACTAATGAAAATGGATGTATACGATTGTGTGCTGGGAGAGAAATTGTGCTCGGGCAGCGGCACTACGTCCTACTATTATATCGAATTCCAACTGATCATGGTTCTTTTACGTGTACGCCAATGTGTATACGGCACGGAACCTCGGTTTTAGGTCCCACCTGGACGAAAATACGTTGTCCCTGCACCACTTAGAAGAGAATCCCCTCCGGCAAATCCCGATGAACTTTCTCGGTCAACACAGGGATCGAACCCGGGACCTTCAGTATAGCGAGCCAACGTCTTATTCACTGGGCCACCGTGGCTCCCATAATGTAAATTCAATGGGACAATAGAGACTTTTGGCAAGTGGAATTTTTCCCATCCTTATAACGTATCCGTATCGTCACGTGATACGTTGCGTTAATTTAGTTTTAGAGTTTTGGCAGATTTTCGCGCCGCGTACGTATGGGTAGCTGAGCTGAGCGTAGTTCTGTTACAGCATAATGGCAGTTATCTACCAAGATCAACATCAGAACTAGTCAAGTATCTAGCCTTCAAATTCCTGAAGGGAGTGAAGTCTTTCGACAGTCGCTGAGTTATTTAAAAAAAATAATTAAAAATTAGTGTCGAATCTTATTAAAAATCTTCGACTTCGACTCGACAACAATTTTGGTTTCACTAATGTATCATTTCAGAAAGTATATACCCCTTTTACAGATTTGTTAAGTCCCACAGGTCCCGGCTCCCTAAATTTAGCATGTAGATCAACCAGCTTGCAGACAGACAGGAAAAATATGAAAATTCCGCGAAAAGCTCAACAAAAGTAATGATTAAATTCCAGTCTTTGCCATGGTTAAAATCACGTCAAATATATACCTTCGTGTTCTAGGATACACATATAGTCATAAAAACGCTACGGCACAATATTTCAGCGTCTAAAAGTAGCAAAACATACGGTAAAAAGACGACGATGTTATACGGACCTTTTCCGTATGAAAGCTGTTCGATACGTGCTGCCGTATCCGTGTGCCGTATCACGTATGAGAATTACACACGCATTGATTACGTCACACGCAAAATCGTTACGGTACGCGATACGGACCAGGAATTTACGTTTGCCAAAAGTCTCTAGTTTCCATGTAATGTAAGCGTCTTTTTCACAGTTTTTTTCGCACGGTTTGTCTCGTGTCTACTGTGAGCATGCGTGTCGAGCCGGGTGTTTCTGTTCAACTTCTACTAAGTCAATCAATCGCTCTTGTTGCTGAATATTCCGCTGGAACATGGTGTGTGCCAATATTATTTTAAAAAATAAAGCGAAAACAATATCGGACTCCACGCTGTGCAGAGAGAAATCCTCACTTATGATGTCTCTTACTTGGGGTTGAATAAACGTTAAAGCGGGTTTTCAGTACACATCGCACATTTTCCTGCTGGTGAAAACGCGTAGATTGAAAGGGTGTCTTACTGATTTATAAGTTACCTAGTTTTAGATCTTACCATATTATCGTTAATAGTACAGCCAGCATGACACGGTGAAAAATAATTTTGATTATCAGAGCCACAAACTGGGAAATATCTCTCATTATCACACCCACATAGATCTATATCACACTGTGTTGTATTGTACTCCTTGGTAGTTATATAAGTTCTGAAATGTAATATATTATATGCACACTGTGTTATACAGTTCAGATACGGTATTTTATTATATGTCACTTGTTATATAAGTTATGAAATATAATAATATATTCAATTGTGATATACGTCCCTCCGGTGGTATAGTATGATCCTCATTCCGTGCTACTCCATTATACCCTGGGTTAATCTATGGAGCATTCACGTATTCAAATCATCTGCCCTTGACAGACACTTGAGTCTGCGAAGCAATCAAAAAACAGTTTACAAACCGGCCTTAACCGCATTGTTCATGTTCACAACAATATGCCAAGATCAACCTGACATATTATAAGCCAGCACACTATAAGGATACACACGTAATCATGTATGTGTTAGGAATTAACTGATAGATTCAAAGAGCTATAGAAACATATTATTTTCCAATGATGTATGACACGATAACTGGAATTTCGTACTAAGACATTTTATACACCCCCCTCCCGCCCCCTCTCTCTCTCCCTCTCCCCCTCTCCCTCTCCCCCTCTCCCTCTCCAAATAGAGTTTAGTAGGCCTACATGCTAATTTACTTTAATCCATTTTAAAACAGAATGTATATACATAGCACAAACATCAAGGACAGACAACTTGAATACGTGTCTCCCCCATAGATTAACTCAGGGGATAGTGGGGTGGTCTGGCGATACCGGGGATTGTTCCTTACTAGTTGTGTAAGTTCTGAATAATATTCTATATCACTTTCGAACACTGTTAGTGGATATGTCTATGTAAAATCTCACCATTGCCAAATCCCGACATCACAACAGTATTGGGGCGAAGAAAGGCAAAGTTATATGCCTGTGCCTTACCGGATTATCGCGTAATGGTTCTCGTAACAAAGTGTTATAGACTTATTGCGTTAATCTCTTTCTATCTCTTTCTACAAGTTACAAAAATAAATAATTTTGCAAGTACCATAAAGGACTCGTTACATCATGCAAGAAACTGAATAGATAAATGTCAATAATGCTAGTACAAAATAGATTTGGGGGCCACGGTAGCTCAGTGAGAAAAAATGAAATGAAATGAAATGGGGATTAGCGTCCTACTGTTCTGCTCCGAACTGGACTAATGAAGACTGACATACGTCATACAGTGTATACAGTGTGTAATGGGGTAAATTTTGCCCAGACAGCGGCACTACGGCCTACTCTTATATCGAATTCAAACTGTCAATGGATCTTTTACGTACACACCAATTTGTACACGGGACCCCGGTTTTCGTCCCATCCGAACGACTAGACAGCTGTCCTTGTCAGGTCCTCCGTTCTGCATCACTGACAAGGGGGAACCACGCCTGAAAATTAGGATGAATTTTCTCGGCCAGTGCAGGGATCGAACACCCGACCTCCAGGCTAGCGAGCCAGCGTCTTACCTACTTAGCCACCGTGATTCCCCCTTTGGGTAAAATGTTGACTAGCTGACCGGGATTTTCCGGCGTGGTTCCTCCTTGTCAGTGGTACAGGACTTAGGGTCTGGCAAGGGACAACGTTTAGTCCTTCGTATGGGGACGAAAAACCGAGATCCCGTGTACATATTGGTGTGCACGTAAAAGATCGACTGGCAGTTGGAATTCGATATAAGAGAAGGCCGTAGTGTCACCGTCTTGGCAAAACGTTAAACCCCATATCAATCCATCACAAAACAGATTTAGGGTCTTGTTGATTACATACCTTGATAATCCCTGATTGATTTCTGGTTTAGGACATGTTATAAAATACCCAGTAGCTATAATAAACGACGAGAAAAAGGTGACTCCAGTAACCAGCTTTAAGCACGTCATGGGTGTCAGTTTTAATTTCGACGTTAAAATACCGCCAGTTAAAGCACCACTTGCAGCTCCAAAAACATTTACGGTACCTAAGATAATAATAACGAGAAAAAGGTGACTCCAGTAACCAGTTTTAAACACGTCATGGGTGTCAGTTTTAATTTAGACGTTAAAATACCGCCAGTTTAAAGCATCATTTACGGTACTTAAAATAATAATAATAATATAATTTTAATTAATTCAATCTCGTAACCTAGTTTGTTATCGTTGAATTTTACCAGTAAATCATGTAATTTCAATTGTACACTTTGAAATACGTTGCTATAGATTGATAAAAAAACAAACTTTAATCCTTGCTCGGCGCCTTTAATATTTACGATATTTGTTTTAAATCATGTACCGAAATGAATTCACAATTCTTAGAGCCAATAGTAGGGACATCATAAATCGCTAAACCATTTATTTAGGTATAAATCGAAGTATTCTGTTTTGCTAATCTAAATTAGTATACATTTTGATCATTTCTTCACATAAAATCAGTAGTCCTGGGTTGATCTAACTTGCATGTCAATTCTAAATAAAAACAGTAGAAATTATATCTACCTAATAGAACATTGGCCTTCCAGGTTGGTATATGAAAATGTGATTCAAGATATTTAGGTAAAAAGGCCAACATGCCGCTGATGGAGAACAATATAACACATGTAGATAAAGTACAACACATATAGATAGGGCTGCTCAACAGACGAAAAATCGACTTAAATAATCCTGAAATATATAAAAGCATACAGGTAGAGAACATATTTTAACAAAACGTGTAATATACATTGCAATAATTAAGAAATACAAACTACACTTGTAATATACATGTACTTTTTTTTGAAGAATATATATTGTATGGATAACCAAACAGCTCTTTATTCAGTGTTGTTTATTTTGGTTCCTTATTTATAGCCCTTAATGTCTTCATCTGTTGTCGTTTTAGACAATATTAATCCAGAAATGCAAAGAATATTTGTAATATATTCTGTATTTATCCAAAAATGCAAAGAACACTACTAATATATTTTGTATTAATCCAGAATTACAAAGAAATCTTGTAATATACATGTATTCTGTATTAATCAAGAAATACAAAGAACACTTGTAATAATATATTCTGCATTAATCCAGAAATACAAACAACGTGTGTAATATATACCATACTAATTTCCAAACACAAACACATGTAATATAGACTATAATTATCTCAAAATACATATAACACGTGTAATAATAATCCCCAAATACAAACAATTATACGTGTTACATAGACTATAATAATCCCCAAATACGAACTACATGTGAAATATAGACTGAAGCCATACGATATTGACAACACACGCAGGATTAGTTATTGAACATAATAGATGATTTGGTGAAAAAGAAATATTGGTCATCAGAGTGGCGAATCATCCATTCCATAAAACAACGGAAGTTTCTACCTTTCAATTCTGCACATTTGTTATTGGATTTCACTGCTTTTTTGGTTTTTAGATTGTCTAGATTTTTTGGTCGACTTCTCATCTTTCTTGGAAAACATAATAGCGGGATTCCTGCTATTACACCAATCGAACCGAAAAATAAGAATCCTAGCCACCATGCGCCTATCCATCTTGGATCTCTAAGAGACATGTTGGTTTCTGCAGATAAAAAAGGAAAAATAATATGATTGATCAAACTCACTGACCACATTTACTTCTTGGATTCAACTATACATTTAATAGAAATCCCATGTTAAACCAGGGCTGTGGCTATATTATCTCAACGCTATGGGAGGCCCCATGGGAGATGATGTGCATATATAATAATAATAATAGTTTATGGTTCAGTCGCAGTTATCAGTCAAGCCACAATATATTTAACTGTAAAGGAATGTCATGTTGCATCAAATGAAATGGGGTTAAAAGTCCTACTTATTTTTTACTTCGTCCGGGCTAATGGATACGGATATACGCCTGTGTGCTATAAGGGAAAATTACCTGAATCTGTTGCAGAAAAGCATACCGTAAAGCATCACATTTGGCCTGCTCATAGTTTTAAAATCTTACATCGGTCGGATATCTTGTGATTAGCATGACCATGTAGCAAAACATAATTATCCTGATTAACTTACCTTCGAGTGTTACATAAATTTTACTGAAGACGCCACCTAGCGTAAAACCTAGAGCTGGCCCAAATATTCCCACACTTGATATAATACCTAAAGGAATATAAAACCTTAATTTCCAGATGTAAAAAATGCCAAATCAAAACAAAATGAATAGAAGTTGGTTCACTTTAATTCAAAATGTGAAGGCAACGCGTAGTCATAATAGACCAGGAGCCCGGGTGTGGAGGGGGGAAACTTGGCTGAAAAGTATACAAATTTTCTCCTATATGGTATCAATGCATGCATATCTGGTATCATCAGAATGAAAGTCTGTCGGGTATCTGGTGGTGGGTGTTGTATTCCACGCCCAAAATGTCATGCCCCCTCCCACTAGGCTAGATTAGCTCAAAAGTGTACCACAAGAAAATCGTACAGTAGTGTACCGTGTACCGTACATCTTCATGGATTTACATTTCTGGTGGTAGGATACCCCTGACAGAACTATGTAATTGCCAGACATTTGTAGTGGGGGGAATATTCCGGACAAGAGTTATCTAATTTCCAAACCACAGCTAGTCTAGATTAGCTGAAATCTGTACCACCTAAAACAGCTTTGGAGAGAGAGAGAGAAATAGGGTTTAACGTCCACTCGACACAAACTAGGTCATTTCGGGACTAACATATGGTTTAATTTTATTTCAATAATTCGCTTGCGCGTTGGGGTCTTTAGCAGTGGGAGGAAACCGGAGGACCCGGAGAAAACCCACGAGGTTGGACAGGCGACCCTACTCCTTGCCACGCACAACCGGGGATTAGAAACCACGCCAGTCGATTCAATGATAAAAAAGCTTTGGAGTTGTTTCATACCACCACAGGGATCATGAATGACCATTGCCAGACAGTTTGTGCGGTGGGTTACCCCTAACAGACACGCCCTAAAATGCCACGCCCCAAACTAGGATAGATTAGCGGGCACTGTTCTGACAATTACATAGTTCTGTCATGGGTACCCCAACACTACAAATCTATGTCAGGGTGTTTTTGTAATACCTGAAATGTACGGTACACTTACATTCTGATGATACCAGATATACATGCATTTATACCATTAAGGGGAAAATTGGTACACTTTTCAGCTAGGTTGACCCCCCTGAGCACCCAGTATATAAAAAGGTGGTGTGGTGTATTCATATGTAAAAATGTAAAATCAATATGATTTGGGTAAATAAATTAAGTTTCGTTTAAATTAAATTTCGAATTTTTAACATAAAAACGAGATAAGATGTTAACTTAACGAAATAAAATGTTCGTTTAACGAGATAAATTAATGTTAACTTACCGAGATAAAGTGGGGTCTTTGTTTGTTCGACATTATCATCAACATAGGTTGCCAGGAAAGGATATCTAGGCGATTTACCGAAACCCTGTAAACACATCCCTATCGATAATAACAATATGGCCACGGTTCTTATGGTGGCGTTTTTATTAATATTTTCAGTTGTTCCACAATGAAGAAGCGTCTCGTTCACACCACTAAAAGTATTATTCAAACAAAGAGATCCACTTTGTAGAGGACTTGCTGTCATTGTAGTTATATTTCCCTCTCGGTAACTCAGTCGAAAGCTATCCATATCCATGAAGTGCGGAATGCTGCAAATAAGTCCCGAAAATCCGAAAAACATGGTGGATAAGGCTAAAACACGTGGGATATGTGTTTTTCTGGCAATATAACTCATAAACAGTGTGGTTAAAAGATAACCTATATCGTTACTTGACAGAATTAATCCACTAACAGAACTACTAAAACCGAACTGTCTCTCGATTGTCGTAATCTGAGAATTGATATAGATCTGTAAAGATGATGTCACAAGTCCTGACAGACCATATACAGCGGTAAAACATCCCATGGTCGCACAACATTTTAGTTTAGTTGGTTCACATGACCCCATGCCACATTCTGTATCCTGGTCATCTTTATTCTGTTCCGCCGGAGGAGAATATTCTCCGTTTCTGTTTTTCTTATCCATGACTCAGATCAGTTTAAACAAATCGTTGTTAATCTGAAACAAAGTGTAAAATAACAGACAGACATGGTCTAGATGCTGGCTGGAAAACAAGGCTACATCAGAGTTAACTGCCATGTCAAGCCGGCACATATGTACTAAGGTATCAGAAGTTGTTCATTTTCAGAACAGGACAGCCTATGTCATTGCCTTCAATACATGGGCATGGTATCCACAAAGCACAAGAAAATTGACCATTTCCTGTGATTAACTTGCATATCTAATTGGGTGCAAACTCAATACTGAGTCTTGGTTGTCGTTGAGTGGATGTTAAACAACTAAAAACTTGATACATTTGTCATTTTATCTCTCTTCACGGCAGTGTTTAATTTATAAGATAAAAGCGGGTCTTGAAAAGTTAAAATAAAAATCTAAAAATAAACCGATTGTGTAACTTTAACGTCTTTCGTCCGACTGGGAGTCACTTGATGACTGTGGTGTTATTTAGACTGTGGTGTTATTACCTCCCTTTAGAGCTCTTTACTGTACATCACATTGACACGACATGCATTAGTGCTTAGCTCTACGGGTCGTACTTGAAAATGAAGTCGATGATTCAGATACTTAAAAAAAAGTACCTAACGTTGACCATAACCAATAGGTATCCCTATGTCAGCAGACCGAAATGAAATGGGGTTTATCGACTGGGCTAATGGAGACGGGCATCCTCATACAGTGTGCTATAAGGGTAATTTTGGCCGGACAGCAGCGCTACGGCCTACTCTTATATCGAATTCTAACTTCCAATGGATCTTTTACGTGCATGCCAATGTGTACACGGTAACTCGGCTTTTCGTCCCATTCGAATGACTAGACAGCTGTCTTTATCAGGCCCCCCGTTCTGCACCACTGACCAGGGGAAACCACGCCGGAAAATCCGATTAACTTTCTCGGCCAACACTGGCATCGAACCCGCGACCTTCAACTGAGTGCAGTTAGAATTGCAAATATAGACATATATACAGTCTACGCGATATTTTTTAAAAAGAATATATAATCACTATATCGCGATATTTTATAAAATGTCAATACTTTTATCACCTTTTAAATGTAAATAAACATGCATAAAATTTGGAAATACCCCTGGAGTGTTCAATTGACACTTTCTAGTCAATGTTATTTTTAGACAGTACCGAATTTACAAACGAAATTTAAAGGAGCTAAGTCGCTAATATTTGGGACCTAAAAATTGATACAAATGGGTCGCAACGCATATAATAATGTAATATGAATATATATAAACTGATTTACATTGAATCGTTTTACTTTAATTTCAAATCAGTTATGTTCGGCGAAATACGCCAGAAGTGTCCATCGAATGGCAATCTCTAGCGTCTGGTTATTTCAATCTACGCCGATAGTATTTATTGCGCATGCTCGCCAGATAAGAATATGGTCTCACCGTTTGACATGACTTATGGAATATGTCTAGCCTCGTTCTTCGACTGTCTTAGTACAAAATGCGCTGAAAACCATTATGGTACACGATTCGTGTACCAATGGTAAATGTTTATTTTGTCTTAAATATTGGTTATCAGAAGCCCATCTTTTCACAATATGATAACAACACCAATGTTGATTTAAAATGACAAATAATTCGTGTTTTCAATATCGAAGACTTTGGATGATACTGAGTTAGAGACTTAGCTACTTTAATGAGCTGGTTCAAACACAGATCTATATAGCCACGAAAACTTGCTAAAGCTGTTGTTTATTACAATTTTAATTTTCAAAATATTAATTACAATATTTTATTTAAATTAAAAATATTTACATATGAAGGGGCACAAATTTTTTTTTAAAAAGTTTGTGTTCTTCGGCCCTGCATATTTTAATGGATTTTGTTCATTTACCCTTGCAAACTCGTTTTTCTCATTCAAACGTATACCTTCTTGATTAAACTATAAAACATAAGTACTATGTCCAAAAGGGTCCACTGATTTAGTAAAATAGCGATTTTTCGGATCACGGACTGCTATGCATGACACGTCAAGACGCTGAATGATAATGATAATCAGTCTACCGGAACTCTCAATACATGTATATATAGTTGGCATATATTGCTTTATTAAAATTTAATTCAATCTTAAAATCAAAGATTCCTTTGGAAAATCAAAGTATCGATATAAACAATTCGTCAAGATGTATAGAAATTGAACAGAAACAGGGATAATTCTTACGGGTGGAAAAGTGAGCGAGAAGTCACGTGACGCAAACAAAGCTCCTTATCGGCATTTGCAAACTTTGTGGATTGAATACTCTGAAGTTTATAACAGTATTTATTCATCATTAAGCAATAAAATATCGTAAATAACATAAAAAAGAAACAAAAAATTTTTTTAAATATATTCCAGAAAAATATATATCGCGGTATGTTCGTTTTTTCGATATTTTTCTGAAGACGGTATTTTTGACGGTGTTTATGTCTGTGACGATTTTATATCGAAATACCGAAATATCGTCCAGCTCTAGGAAATGTATGTTTAAATACAGAACGCAACAAAAACGTGTATTAACTGTTATTAACAATATATGTCATTACATTATATATATAACTCAAACAGTTACGAAACTTTAAAGATTAGCGAGGCAAGAAGTGCTACTGTATTGACTAAGGGTAGACACACTAGCCGAATGCTTCGCCCGATTCACCGGTCGATTGCATCACCTTTCATGTCACATGATTAAACATGGCGGCGTCCATGTCTTCAAACTATCACGTGACTTCTCGATATGACATATGTGGACATTGTAAACAAAGAAGGTTATAATACATTGTAAATTATGTAAGTATAATATATTGCATTGTGTGCAGTAGAATAGATCGTAAAGATTATACGTTCCGATGGATTACATCCACTAGAATATCAAGGAGATAAATGCATTTGATTTAGGTCATCATAATGCACTTTTAAAATTGGCTAATCGAAATAGTTATTTCGATTCCATTGGTACAAAATCTGTAGGATTAAACTTTAGCGGAAGTGGCCTAGTTATACTCCGAATGTCATTCGATAAATTCCATTGGGACAAAATCTGTATGATTAAACTTTAGTTTCGAAATATTTAGCGGAAGTGGCTTAGTTTTTCTCCGAATGTCATTCGATAAATTTAAAGATGCATTTTTTTTTACATGACAAGTCCAAATCAACTCTCTAGAAAATCAGATGGTCGTGGTTTTGAATCAATTTAAACACAATTGTCATTGGAAAATTTAATGTAAAAAATTGATAGTAGAAACATTTATAACAAAACACAACACAGGGTATATATGGATGTAACTACTTCTCTATTATTTAATAACGACGTTTCGTAACACATACAGGTCACGTTTTCAAGAACGACGTTTCGTAACACATACAGGTCACGTTTTCAAGTTAACGTTTTAACGTTTCATAACACATACAGGTCGCGTTTTCAAGTTAACTTGAAAACGTGACCTGTATGTGTTACGAAACGTCGTTATGAAGAGTTAACCGTCTAGATGTCATTTAAAGAATTGAGTAGAAACATTGTTTATTATCGTAGCAATGGTGTGAGAGAGGGAAATGGGGTTAACGTCCACTCGACACAAATTAGGTCATTTCGGGACTAACATGGTTCAAGTTTATTTCAATAATTAACTTGTGCGTAGGGGTCTTTAGCAGTGGGAAGTTACCGGAGGACCCGGGAAAAACCCACGAAGTTGGACAGGCGACCCTACTCCTTGTCACGTACAACCGAGGAACGCCAGTTGACTCAATGGCAGACATGGCATGCTAACCATTCGCCCCCCCCCCCCCCCCCCGTAGCAATGTTACTTGACAATCGAGACTATATTGTCAAAACCTCGAACACCCATAACTTCGCTCAGAATGAAGTAATTTGACTGAAATTTACAATGTATGTCTTTATCTACATCTTACATAATGCGTTTTATGTATCCCTGTCTATCTCTCAATGAGATGCGGTACCATGATGCCTCAAGTATGACCCATGCCATCATTATTAACAAACGTTATGTCAATTATCATCAATGAATAAACATTAACCAAACCTGTCTTTCCTAATTGACGTAGTTTCTGCGACTGTTTCTTTCCATCTCTGTCTCAAGCCAGATCATAACACAAATTAAATGTGTCACTACTGGTTGGTTCGGCTATGGAAGGGTTATTTTATATAGGGGGTAAATTTCAATAACAACCTTTCCCTAGCAGTCATGCGTGCAATAGATAATATAAAGGAAATGTTTGCCGCGGTTAAATAGATTTCAGGTATCCAAGTTCCCTATTCTGAACTCTGTCTTATGTATATGTACATACTAGCACACATACTGGCCTATACATACAGCTACAATGTAAGTTGTATAATCGGTTGTATTGTTGGGTTATTTAAAGCCCAGCTCACAACCTACCGTACGTGTTTTGACACACATGGGTCGAGGGGTTTGGAAGTTCGCAGACCAGCCGCAAGAAATCTGGTGAAAACTTTGTATGTGCAGGACCAACAGTCTCTACGGCCAGTCTGCGATCTTCTGCGATGCCGAACAAATGCACGTACGACAGGCAGTGAGTTAGGCTTTAGACGATGTGTCCCACTTAAAGATCAAGTACGATAATGGAATGAAATGGGGGTTTAACGTCTCGTTGATATTTGACTTAAGTTAAGTGGGAAGAGGTATTTTGCGCAAAAACATTCTTACTTTCCTTATCCACATGGCGGTTCCCGATTTATTTGTGGTTTTAAATTGAAATCCATTTAGTCCGGTAAAAACACTACCCGCATGTTAATCTAAAAATGACAAAATGTTCAACTGGATTTATTTTAATTATAATTTCAAGAATATAATGCCTATAACTTCCAGATATTATGTTTTATCATGGTTTTATACAATCTTTATTAAAACTATAACAATTTCAATAACGATCATATATCAACTATTTTTCAATTCTTATCAATATTAAAACAATTTCAATAACAATTAGAAGATGCAATTGTTCTTTATTATAAATCCTTATCAAGACTATAACAATTACAATAACAATCATAAAATCCAGATATCTAGTATTATACAATCTAGTATTGTAACAATAGTGGTCATAACATACAGATGTTTTGCATTATACAATTGTTATCAATTTCAATACCATCCACAAAGTCCACATACAATCTTTATATATCAATAGTATTATCGTCAGATGTATTATACAATCTTTACTTATCAATATTTCCTAATGATCAAATAGATACCGAATGATTTGTGGTTTGGATATATATACGAATAGATTGATTAGACTTAAGTCTCAGTTTGAGTATAAAAGGTGAAAAAGTCGATGGATATTATTAGCATTATATTGTCAGCTGCTTTGGTCTATTCGTTATCAAATATCGTGGACTGTTGTCTGATTTATGGACACGCCAACAATCAAATCTAAAATTATAAATGAAATGGGGTTTAACGACCTACTTTTCTACACCTACTGAGCTAATAAAGATGGGCTTAAACCTTACAGTGTGCTATATGAAGGAATTTTTGTCTGGACAGCGGCATTGTATCCTACTCTTAATTCGAATTCCAACGGTCAATGGTAATATTACCTGCACGCCAATGTGTACAAGTTATTTCAGTTTTTCGTACCATCCGAACGACTAGACACTGTCCTTGTTAAGGTCTCCATCCTGCACCACTGAACCCGAGACCACCTGGTTAGTGTGCCACCGCTGGTCCCTAAATGTATAGCACTGGATTCAGGGGCACAATCATCAATTAAGTATATCCGAATTTAGACTTAACTGGCCGTCTTCGTTTGCTTAAAATATAAAATTAAAAATACGAAAATTGTTATGCTCAATTCATAAGAAATGTTATATCTCACCTCAATGACAAGTTGTCCTCGTAATCCTGAACATTCTATTGAACATGTCTATGGACTGATTTTTATCACTCGGGGTTATGAACTTTCGGAAATTAATACTACTGCGAAGCGTCTCTAACATGAAACTCATAATTTATAGACCTGTAAATATAGTTGATAATTTTATATTAACTGATAAGATACATAACTTTATCTATACACTCACCTAAACAAACAAACAACAGTAAAAAGTTCTACGACCTTTACATTTAAAGGGAAATTGCCCCTTTCACTGAGTTTCATTAAAAGATTAATTTTTGAATAAAGTTATATTAGAAATAACCTTATACTCGCCTGATTATGGACAAAATTCAAGAATAAAAATCACGCATTCCCCACAAGACAGTTATCATGAAACTTTGCTAGCTAAATGAATCCAAAGAGGAGTGGTATCAGGTGCTCCAGAAAGAATAAGAATCCGCCTCTCCTAAAATTGAGTGCGTTTAAGATATAATTGGGTAACATTTGGCAAACCCACTAATTGCGGAAATCATTTTATTGACCTTTTGTCTAACAACTAATATAGCAAAATAACTTTTTGTATTAAGGTTTTACGATTATCATTTGATACAATATCCGGTGTACTCCGGCATGTTCTTTGAGTCTGGAATAACGACTTTCTCCTCATACGCTCCATTCGATCCCGAAAGAGGTTCAGGGATATATTAACCGTGGCAGTGATTTCATCTTTAGGTGGCATGATGTCATGTCATGTCGTGTAAACTGAAGGAAACAATAGTAATATCATACAACTTCGTCCCGCTCGGCAAAACTGTCTATCGGTTTCTTTAAACCCGGAGGCATGTTCGCTACTGTTAGACCTTGATGTTTCACCGTCAATTTATCACTTGATTAGGCAACCAGACATGAAAAATCTCAAGGTTATTCTCAGCCCACGCCCGGATTCGAACCGGTGACCTTCTGGTCTAGATTCTAATTCTGTCGCCACTCGACTACCGCATCTCCCGACCATCAACGAAGTACAAATATAACCCTGTCACCAAGACATTAAACAATTCAATAGCTACTTATAAAAAAGATGAAAGCCATGTGAATTGTGTCTTTGTTAATTTCTGATATTTCGAACAGTGCAAACCTGGTAATAACCATGTGTAATACGGTTACAGAATTGATAGCTCGACCTTCACGCACTGAAAAACAACACTTATTTTCACAAACATAATAGTTTATACTTTTATACACTTCACCACGATTACAGGCCATAAATATAACCTGGGTTTGCTTCGAAATAAGGTTAAATCAGATGTAATTAAAAAAAAGCTTAAAGACATACACCGATTTTTATTATTGTTTATAACGCGGGTTTATTATTCGGTGAATATACAGTTTTTAATCTTAAAACGCCCACTGAAAAATAACTAAGGGGACTAACACATGTTGTACATTTTGCTTCAATTACAAAGGGGGGTGGGGAGGGGGGTTATTAGGCTTCCATGAATAACGTTCTTGTGATTTACTACGTACGCGTTTGATCGCCCGCCTGCCTACCAAATCTAGAAGTTTTAAAAGTATGAAAGAAATAGAAAATACAACGTTTCGGGCTTCTCCGGGTGAAACTCAATGAAAACTAATTCATATACTTTATACTGGATGTACGCGCAGCATACCTTGTAAGAATTAAGCAGACAATTACATTATTATTATTGTTCGATTTATATAGCGCTTCATTACACGTGAAGTGTTTCTAAGCGCATATCACAAACATATACTTCAAACACACAAAAACAATCAAAATCAGGAGAACATAATTAAACACAGCTGCCTGTTAGGCGCTATTATTCAAAGGTTTATATCCAACAAATCAACCGGCTAATCTCTATATTGAACTCAGTCGAGGTATTACCTGATGAACACCTACACCAAGTAGAGTTCAAAAATAAAAACAAAGTTTAAAAGAATCAACTTCATTAACAAAAATTAAACAATCAAAATCTAAACTGATAAATCAAATTCAAACGAAACAAATAAAACAAAGAAAATGAAAAGAGCAGTTCATTACCATTCTACATTAACAAAATAAAGGAAATCAACTTGTGAAAATTTGTTAAAAAAAAAACAAACATCAGTTGTCTTATTTTACACATAACTTGTTATCAGTATTAGAAGAGATTACACACAGACAACTGAGGGAGCCACATTTATTTGTACGGAAAATCATGTTTAAGCTTGTAGACCCTCTAAGGAACACAATTTCTATCCGATATCCATTTTAATCTCGGCCATCCGATAATCTAGAGAGTTGCTTATAGGCTTGTCATGTGAATAAATGTTTAAATAGTTTATCTAACATTTTGAAGACAAAAAGACCTGCCATAACATCTTTAACGACAAGATACCATCAGGCATTTACATTTTTGTTGTGCTCAGTTCAATTACGAAACAACTGTTTAATTCAATTAGTACATATTTTTAACAGGTCAGACGTTTGAATGACTAATGACATCCATCAAAACAAAAGACTAAACACGACACTAACCCTCGTGATTTTCCTGTATCGGGGAAAGTTGGGATTCGACAACTGACAGCTCCCTCGAAGCAATCCTTTAAACTTTCTTCTGTGGTATCGTAGGACAAGTTTCTGGCTGTTAGGGTTTTACCTTTAGGTCCACCTCCCTGGCTTCTACGATCTCCACCTGAGGTATTCATATATGCAGCATAGATAATTAAAACTTCTATTCAAGTTAAACCAACTGTATCTATTTATGTCTTACGTCGAGCTGAATACATTTTATGATTTATGTGACATGGCCGACATGCACGTGGTATATAAAGTTAAAGTGAAGATAACCTCAATGAAGTTACATAAGTCAAAGATATTGGTTGTATAACCTATATACCATTGATCACGTGATTAGATATCTTTAACCCCTATGTTTCAAGAACATTTTAATAAATTTTCTTTCTTTAAATACGGTTACAATACAAAGTTTGTTTTTTTAGGAACCACAGTGGCTTAGTGAGTACGACGCTGTTACACTAACAAGAAGGGCTGGGGTTTGATCTCGGGATTTTCCATCGTGATTTTCCCTTGTCCGTGCCGCAGAACGGGTGGGGGATGGGGCTGGCAAGGACCGCTTCTAGTTGTTCGGGTGGGACGAAAAACCGAGGTACCTTAGCAAGTTAGCGCCCACGTGAATTAACCCTTGATAGTTGGAATTTGATATACTGGTAGGTCGCAGTCCGGTCAAAATTTCATTTGTCAAAGTTCTAAAGTACACATTCACTTGACTGACATACACTGTGCAATTCATATCTGTTTATGGCTGTCCATAGTGTAAAT